GGGTGCACCCCAGGAGCTGGTGGATGGACCCCAGATGTGGGTGGGTGCACTACTGGGGCTGGGGGATGCACCCCAGGAGCTGGTGGGGGCATCTGGGGAGGTCCAGGGGGGCCAGAGGGGGCAGGCCCAGTAGGGGGCATAGGGGGGAGGGGCAGGCCACCAGGAGGAGGTGGGGGCAAGGCATCAGGGAGTGGTGGGCGAGGAGGAAGGCCATTCATGAGTGGGGGCGGGGGCCGCTTGACACCTGGGGGTCCCGCTGGGAGGCTGGGCGGGGCCGGGGGCTTCTCCATCTTAAAGTGGAACTGAAGAAAAAACTGCAAGGGGGGAGGGCGGGTCAGCATCACAAGGGTGGGGGAAGGGATGGGCACCATCCACGGCCTGGGCGCCATACCTGCTTAGTCTCTCGGTTCCAGTGGGTCCAGAACTTGCCCTCAGCCTTGTCGATCTCCCGGCTTGGCACCTGGAGGAGGAGCCAGAGGCTGCAGCAGGCGGGGAGGGCTGGAGGGACCCCCCGCCCCACAGTGGGACGCTCCCCTGCCCCACGGTGTGCTACCTTGAAGGCGATGGTCTCGTAGGGCTCGGCAGCCATGAGCAGGTACTGCCAGCGGCGGTCCGGGGGCTCAATCCTCTGCTCGTAGGCAGACATGAAGCGGTGGCGGGGCATGATGCCCTCCGCGATCTCAGGGTAGTCAATCTGCGGGACGCACACAGCCGTGTTGGCACCACCACCGCCCCGGTGTCCGGGTCACCTGACGGGCCCCAACTCACCTGGAACAGCAGACTCTGCTGGCCCATCTCTGTGTCCCTCTGCTTGGTCACTGTAACACAGGGGATGGGGCTGTCATGTGTGCACACTATGGCCTCTCTGGCCCCACAGTGGGGAAGGCCTCAGCAGAGCGCAGCCGCCCACGTGGTGCTGTGCACAGCTCCCTGGCACCCTGCTTGCCAAAGGCGGCTCTTGGAAACATGGCTTCCTGTCAGGCAGGTCACCCAGGGGCTTCTCTGCTGAGGGGCTGTGGGAGCGGCAACTGCGACATCCTGCCCCCGCTTTCTGGAAGTACCAGCGGGGATAGGTGCTCACTGGCCACACGGGGGCCCCTGGCAACACATGCAGGGAGGACTGAGAAAACGGTGGCTGTGTCCTGGGGAGGGGGCATATCCGGTGCCCAGGCCTTGGGCTCATTCATACCGCAGCTGACAGCCGTGGGCAGACCGCCACCCACAAACCCACCTTTGTAGCCAGGGCGGCCAATCTTCACAAATTTCTTCACCTCTACCTTGACCTTCTCTGGGGCAGGCTGCGCAGGGGCCTCCTTGGCCTCCTTGGCAGCTCGCCGGGCCCTGCACGCAGGAGATGTCATGTCAGTGCTTGAATCACCAACAGCCACCAAGGCCAAGCACCCAGGTGCCAGAGGTGCCCGCCCCGCCCCGCCTCCACGTCTGCCGCTGTCCCTATCCTTGCTCTTCAGCCATCTGCTCTGCACTGGAATGGTCAGGCTGAAACACTGGGCAGAGCATCCAGATGCAGAGGGCCTTTTTCCTCCTCTCCCATTAGCCCACCCCAAGCGAGGGCTCCCCTCGAGTGGCAGTGTTGTAGGGGCTCACAGGTTAGTTTGATGTTTCTTCCCTTGGGTATGGGCCAGGTAGCTCCCCTGCAGAGAGAAAGGAGACAAATGTGGTCTGGAGCTGGGTGGAGCCTGGGAGCCTTCAGGGGACGCAGCGGCTGTGCTGCACTGGGGACACAGGGGCTCGCCTTGGCACCCACCACTTCCCGGGAACCCCTCTGTGGTCAAACCAGCACACTCCAAACATCACCAGGGACGGGCAGCTGCCTGGGGGAGCTCCCGACAAAGGGGTGGGGCCTAGAACACTGCTCAGCACCCACTGCCTGGCGCCTCAACCGGTCCCCATTTTCAACACGTGTCCCATCCACTGCTGATCGGCTGGTCATTTAGTGAAGAAGGGCGAGGAGGTGACTTCCCAAACTACCAACGGATTCTAGAGTCCTCTCCCCAGAGAAAAGGACAATAGCTACACCCCCTCCCTGAACCCCCAAATGCAGACGCCGTGCTGCTGCCCCGGCATGCATTACTATTTATAATGACATTCTCAGATCAAGCGTGCTAACTCCCGCTTTGCTACCAAAGACAGTGAAAGAAACAGGACGAAAGGGGAGCTGGCGTCTAGCCAGGCCTACAGTGAGCTCCACGCTAGTCAGAGCTGCACAGCGAGACCCCGCCTCAACAACTGGACTGGGGTGTACCTCAGCTCAGTGGCAGCACTGAGGGCCAGGGCAAAGCCCCAGTGCTGAGAGAGAAAAAAAGTTCAACCAAGCCAGACCAACACTGATCTAGAGTCCCTCTGGGCTGGCGCGAGGCTCACAGCGTCACACACTCTCGCACAAAGGTAGCAGCACATACCTCATTGTTATGCAGGGTCAGGCAGAGTTTGCACTCATAGGACCCCAGGTGGTTCTTCATAAAATACGGGTCCTGGGAGAGAAGAAATGCGCCATTCCACCACACAGCCTGGCCCTGGGAACGGGGACTGAGGCGTGGAGGGAGGTGTGTGGGTGTGGGGCGTCACCCTCCTCCAAACACCACCTTGTTGATGTCGATGGTTTCAAGGGCCAGCTGCCGCAGCCGCTCCCTCCGGTCCCGGTTGCTCTCGGAGGAGGAGGCCACGCCCCCACTCCCAGTCTTGCCTCCAGGTCGGTGCTGAAAGTCCATGGTGCAGGCCTGGCGACTTTAGAGGACAGGAAAAAACCTGGAGGAGCAAGGAAGAGTAAGGCTCAGAACACTGCAGGCAAATGGGCCACCCTGGTCTTGAACTCCATCCTCCAAGTGCTGCGACTACAGGTATGAGCCACTATCACCATCTATGTAGCCCTGGCTGTCCTAGAACTCTCTATACTGCCCAGGCTCCGACAGCCCCTGCTGGAATTAAAGGATCCCTCTCCCCAACAGGCCACAGAGGCCACGTGGAGTTTTTCCTAGTCTGCCCTCCAGAGAGCACTCAATGCTCTGTACCAAGGGTCCCACCTCTGAGGCTCAGGCAGAGCCTCCCGCAGTGTTCTCTGACAGTGGAATACTTTACAGACGACTCAATGCCTGCCCCAGGCCCTTGGTTTAAACCCAGAGGTAAACTCAGACAGCACCCAGGAGACAAGTGGAGGGTCGTTCTCGTCATCCAGGACTGGAGCCTCATACAGCAAAGGGAGCTTTGCAGACATGGTCAAGAATCTCAAGGCCAGGCAGATCTAACTATCTACATTGTCAGCACAGTGCTGGCTAAGCATGCAGGCCCTGACATCAGCTCCGAAGGGAGACGAGGTCAGAGCAGGGATCTAGATGCCGCGGTGGTTGAGAGGACATGCACTGAAGATGTGGGCAGGGCCAGCCTGCTGGAGCTGTGCCATTCAGGCACACAAGGCTGAGGAGACGCTCCCACAGGGGGAGTTAGCCAGGCGCAAGAGCAGAGTTGCAGGGGTGGCGGAGTCGGCTTCTCTGGCAAGAGAAGCAGCGGCAGGGTGGAAACTGCTCCAGACCTTGGTGGAGACAACTCCCCAAAGCACAAGACTCCTGGCCATCCTTCCTGGAGAGATGGGGTACCCAGCCACATGCTTGAGGGTGCAACTCAGGGCTGGAATACTCATCCAGTATTCACGAGGACCTCTAGGATGAGTGCCTGAGGGTGGTGTATGTATGTGCTGTGTGTGCTTGTGTCCATTACATGGAAAAACACAGTTCGTCAGCTTTGGAAGAAAACAACAAAAACAACAGGACAAAACCAGCCTCGGCGAACACACTCTTTAGCTCTGGGATGGAGCGGTTTTGCAACATCTCACTGCTGAGCCATCTTCTCAGCCTCAAAAAACACAGAAAATGGTGGGGGCATGGTGGCATACACCTTTCACTAGGCCCTTATCTCAGGCTGAGGTAGAGGACATCTGGGTTAGTTAGAAACCAGACTGGGTTGTGCAGTGAGATCCTGTCTCAAATAAAAGATAAGGGGGTGGGTGGCTGGCAAGATGGCTCAGTGGTTACAAACACTTGCTGCTCTTACACAGGACCTGGCGTCCAGTTCCTAGCTCTTAAACTGGGCAGCTCAAAACCACCAGAAGCTCCAGCTCCAGGGGACCTGACATCCCGTTCTGGACTCTGTGGGTACCACACTCACACACGCAAACACATAAGCAGAGAAACAAACACAGGAAAGCACTTATCTTTCTGCTTCCTGACTACAGAGGCAACAAGACCACAGCTGACCACACCTTCATACAGTAGGCTGCAGTAAACAACTCAAATAGCCAGGTGTGGTAGCGCGTGCTGTAAATCCTAGTACTCCGGAGGCAGAGGCATGACAACGTATGTGAGTTGGAGGCCAGCCTGGTTCACAGAGTTCCAGGTCAGCCACAATTATGTAGTAAGTTAAAAGTTCTGTCTGAAATAAGTTAAAAGTTCTGCTTATGACCGGATGGCACACAAGTGAAGCCTGAAACAGGAGGAAGAACGGATAGAAGACATGAGACCTACAGGACCATCATAAGATTACTGATAAACAATCAATAGGGAAAGAAAAGCAGCACTTGTGAGGGTAATGGCCTGGTACAAGGATGAATCGCTTTTTAGTGGATATACAGTTATCTTTTAATCCCAACAATAAACCTACTCCAGTGGGCGGGAGCAACCAGGGTTCTGACTAACAAAGAGAAAAACTGGGGCAACCAAGATCAAAAGATACTCCAAGGTGGGCTGGAGAGCTGGCTCGGAGGTTAGGAAGAACACTGGCTGTTCTTCAAAGGTCCTGAGTTCAAGTCCCAGCAACCACATTGTGGCTCACAACCATCTATAGTGAGGTCTGATGCCCTCTTCTGGTGCGCAGGTACACACACTGGCAGAATGCTGCATAAATAATAAGTAAACAATGATAATAACTAAACATACTCCAAGGTGCCAGGCGGTGGTGGCGCACACCTTTAATCCCGGCGCTTAGGAGGCAGAGGTAGACCGATTTCTGTGTTCGAGGCCAGAGCGAGTCCAGGACGGCCAGGGCTACACAGAGAAACACTGTCTCGGAAAGGAAAAAAAAAGAAAGAAAAGGAAAAATAAGAAAATGGAAAGAGACTCCAAGACCCCAAGGCAGCCCGGCGGCCACCGAAGCGACACAGAGACCCGCGATCCCGCTGGACCCAACGGGGCTCGCGAGAGTGCGCCAAGCCCGAGAGGAGCGGGCGCGGCCGCCGTCCCGGCCGGCCCCACGCTCCCGCTCCCAACCCCCTTCCCGGCGGACCGCAGCCGGGTCAGCCGCCACCAACGCACCGCCTGGCTCCTCACCGGCGCCCAGAGCCGCGCTGCCCGGGCTCGGCCTCGGCCTCCGCGATGACCACGACTTCAGTGTGCGCACGCGCACGGCCGACTACGCAATCACGGAGTTCCGCGTGTGCGCATGCCCGGCTGACGGACGCCGCTTCAAGAGGCGCGAAGGAAAGGAGCGCCGGGGCACGAAGTGCGCACGCGCGCTCTCCCTCCCTCCCTCCCTCCCTCCCTCCCTCCCTCCCTCTCCGCCGTTAAGTCTGAACTATCGCGACAGGACGGAGACGTTAGGTTTCGGCGGCCCGGGAGTGCGCTCCGCTCTTCGCGGGCGGCTATGAACCTAGCTCGACACCTCCCGTGCGGGGTGTCTGACGGTTACTTAAGGACGGCAGATTTCCTTACCTTCCGCCTCCGTGACCGATTGCGCCGACGCGCAAACGAGCGCCACGCAGCGCGCAGGCGCAGTAGTCCTGCTGGGACTTCCGGGATCGTTCCCTGAGACTTTTGTGGCGCTAGTTGCGGCTTTGCGGAGGACGGCGGCCGAGAGGCAGGGCACGTATTAGTTCGCGCGGACCCCGGCGGCGTGATGCGGTACAACGAGAAAGAGTTGCAGGCGCTGTCTCGGCAGCCGGCAGAGATGGCGGCCGAGCTGGGCATGCGGGGCCCCAAGAAGGGGAGCGGTGAGGCGGTCGGGGCCGCGGCTGGGGCGCTCGGGCGGCTCGGGTGGGCGGATGAGAACAGTTCCGCGCTGACACCGCCCTGGGTTTGCAGTGGCCAAGAGGCGGCTGGTGAAGCTGGTGGTGAACTTCCTCTTCTACTTCCGCCCGGACGAGGCCGAGGTAGGGGCGTGGGGGGCGCGGGGGACCCGCGCGGCCCGGAGGCCGGCGCTCATGGCCGTGTCTCGCGCAGCCCCTCGGAGCCCTGTTGCTGGAGCGCTGCAGAGTGGCCCAGGAAGAGCCCGGCGGCTTCTCCATTAGTAAGTGTGATGGTCCTCGCCGTCCCTACTTCGGACTCTGCTCCGCGCACCTGTCTCCCTCTTACTCCCTCAGGAGCCTCCGTTTGTCCTGGATCTCGCGTCACCTGGGAGCCCAGCGCCCCTCTAGCTGTCACTCAAAGTGTCCCTGGGTCTGGGTCCTGCTGATGCGGTCTTAGTTTCCTCCCCCACCTGTGCAGCCTGCGCAGACCTGGGTATTGTATTGGAGAAACAGTCTCTGCCACAGGGAGGGGCCAAGAAGTGACACTATCTCAGCCTTCCTCCTGGCCGTCATGCCTATCTTCATCATCCAATGAGGCTCACCATCTGTATCCCTATCTTCTGCGGTTTGCACGTGTATGTGGAGGCCAGAAGTCAGTTTCCCGTGCCCTCAGCCAGCCACTTGCCCCGTCCCCCTTCAAAACATTTATGTGTACACATGTATTTGGATGTGAGCATGCCAGTGAGGTCAGAGAACAGCTTTTGGCAGTTGGTTCTCATCGTCCACTATATGGGTTCCCCACAAAAAAATGCTGATGACCAGGCTTGGCAGCAGACACCTTCACCCGCTTGGGCACCTCAGCAGCCCCTCCTGGGATGTGTTTTTAGGCTAGCCTGGCTGGCCAGCAAGCCCTCGAAGCCCTCCCAGCTCCTTCCTCAGCGCTGACATCAAAGCATCTAATCCGTGCTAGGCCTTGTGTGACAGTCACCTTACTGACTGTGCCGTCTCCACAGCTGTTCGTGCAGGGCCCACCCTAATGACCTCACATTAGCTGTTCACAATAACTCAACCCCCCAGCGGGTTCCCTATTTGTGGGTTCAGGATCTGGACTCTGGAGGAGCCCAGCCAGCCTGTGTCAGGCAGAAGATGGTGTTAGAACGAGTGAAGGTGCAGTTTGGGACCCTGGGGAGAGGCAGCTGGTCCTTGTGGCCAGCAGGATGTGGGCTGATTGGACACTGACCAGAGCTGGCTCCCTTTCTTTATCCCTTTCCAGGCTTCGTGGAAGACCTCAGCAGGAAGTATCACTTCGAGTGCGGTAGCCAAGAGCAGTGTCAGGAGTGGATGGAGGCTCTGCAGAGGGCCAGGTGGGGCTTTAGGGACTGCAGGGAACTGGGGAGAAACATGGGGGAAATGTGACCAGTGAGCCCAACCCTTTCCTGCAGCTACGAGTACATGCGACGAAGCCTGGTCTTCTACAGGAATGAGATCAGGAAGATGACAGGCAAGGTATGTGGGGCTGCAGGGGTGGGCCAGCCTTGCGGGGCAGCTTTTCCTGGCCCTGCTCACAGGCACTGTGCGCCCCGCAGGACCCCCTGGAGCAGTTCGGCATCTCCGAGGAGGCCAGGTTCCAGTTGAATAGCTTGCCTATGGACGGGCGGACTGATTGTATTGGCTCCCAGCTAGATGCGTTGGACTGACTGTCGCTGGGCCCCTGGCTACTCTGGGAGGTATATTTTAGAGGCTTAAAAACATCTGTTCAAAGCCAGAGGTCCAGAGAGGTGGGCAGGCGCTGTGGTCCCATGCCCCATGCCATCTCCCTTCAAGTGACCACATCCAGGGACTGAGCCTGGCACAGCTCCCATGTCCATTTTCAGATGAATGTATAATGCTAGGTAAAGCTGTGAATGGTGAGGGTTCCCCTCAGCCAGCTGTGAACCCCTCTCCTGCTGATATGCTAGAGCAGGCCACGGTGCTGGCCTTCAGTGCTGAGCCTGCTCTTTAATAAAGGTACCTCTTTTTCAAGCCAGTGGATTGAGTAGGGAGAGGAAGGGCACACGGGTTGGTATGCCAGGTTATGGTTGTCACATCTAACCCCAGCACTCGGGAGGCAGATCTCTAGAGTTTGAGGTCAGCCTGGTCTACAAAGGGAGATCCAGGACAGCCAGGACTACACAGAGAAACCCTGTCTCAAAAGAGCAACAAAGAGCTGGGCTGATGACACACATGCACAAGTGTGGGTACGGGGCTGGGGGACAGGCTCTGCTCCCGGGGTACCCAACACTAGGCTGGACACTCTGAGATGTGAAACCTTGCCTGGGTCTAGGGTGGAAGGGCACATCTAACTGGGCGTCCTGGGGGGCCCTGAGGAACAGGACCAGCATTCTGCTGGGTGGTAACGCCATCTGGGAGTCTTGCCTCAGTCAGGACTGGAGCCTTAGAGCGAGGCTCCTTCAGAGACCCTGTCGGCCTCACAGTGGGTAGGCACGCTGCTCTTCCCGGTCAGATGACAACAGGCAAAGAAAGAATGGCACAGGAAGTGAAAACGGCTTTTATTACTGTGTCTAGAGGTGGCAACAATGTGTGAGATGCCTTGGGGAGTCAATCAGGGGAGAGAACAGTGCACCCGTTAAGTACAGAGGTCATTACAAGACAGAGCAAAAGCTGCATCAAGTTACAAACAGGCCAGGCTGCCAAAAAAGCTGTGTAGGTGGAGGGTGGGAACTGGGAGGCGTGCCAGGCAGAGTCCCCCTTTGGGCTAGCTTGGGAGTGGGTCCCAGTACGGAGGGCTTCCTATCAGTTCCTGAGCTCAAGCCCTGTAGCCACCTTGGGCCGGAGAGGCAGGGACCACTGAGGCAGCCTCACCCTGTGTGAGAACCATCAGCCACAGGGTGCCTGGGGCCACCGTGCACCACGCTCAGTTTACTGTGGGTTCCCGTTTCTTATGGGCTCAGGAGAGGACTTGCAGGTGTGCCCGGAGCACCTGTGGCCCACGGGGCCATGCGGGCCACGAACATGCAGTGTCTGTCCCTAACACTCAAGTAAGGTGGAGGCGGCCGCCACGGAGCAGCAGCTGCCAGCGCGGCAGGGGGTGTGTACAGTGTTCACTCAGGGTTTGCTCCAGGCCTGGGGTTTGCCAGCTTTGTCCCGCCGCCCTGCTCTGCAGCACCTTAGCTAGCTGTGGTGCGCAGGAACAGGCCTGGCGGACATGAGCACCATCGTGGGGGGAGGGGGAGAGGGATATGGGAGAGGACACCAGCACCGTCTTCACAAATGCTTTGGGAGGCAGGTCAGGCTTGGGGGGGCACCCAACATGGCCTCTCCCCCACAGCCCTCTTACCCCAACTGGAAGCGAGCAGCATCAGGGCGGTCAGGGCTGTCTGAGCAAGCCAAGCCAGCCCTGGCCTCTCTGCAGTCACGCCCAGTGCACCTATCCCCAGGACCAGGAAGCAACTCCTAGACACAGGCAGGCGGTGCCCACAGTGACCAGAGGCCCTGGGCAGCCCAGCATATCTGGGCTACACTCCTGCAGGGTCCCTGGCCAGTGCCATTTTTTGTGTGTGTGCATTTGAATAAATAAAAGTATTTTTCCTCTTCACTTTTCTCTCGTTTTCTTTAAAGTTCACTGTGCATTATACAATCTAAAAATAAATGCAGTTGAGTCTATGAAATTTATAAATCTCCATCACATCTCTATAAAATACTGTCACTTATCATGTGACTCTCTTATACACAGATGCCAGGGGACCCGCAGTGGGCCAGCCCATGTCACCTGGCCAGCATGCCCCGAGCCAGAAAAGCAAAGAAATACAAAGTAAATGCACTTGTCACAGGAGCCACGGAGCCCTGCAGTAGTGGCCCTCACCTGGCAGCACCACTCAGCCTAACTGGGCACCCCAAGTCCTGCCTCGGCCCAGCCTACACCCACCGCAAAGGCACGCCTGAAGCCACAGGGTTAACAGCGGGGTGTTCACAGTGACCGTAGGCGCATTCCGAGGAGGGGGACCAAAGGTCAGCCCCCATCGGGCATGCCTGGCGTGCCTTTGGCGTCACAAGCTGTGGGGGGGCGCATCTGAGAACTGTTTAGCCACGGTCCACATGTAGGACAGCACCCGGGCAGAGGTGGAGACGGGCAGGCATGGGCTTGCTGGTGAGATAGCACCGGGACGGAGTCAGGAGTCCTCATGGTGGCCAGCCCGGCAGGCCAAGTCTTTATACGATTCTCTCTCACAGACACTTAGACGTCTCAAGAGGTTGCCTTGGACGACTTTGATGGAATAAAATAAGTCAGAATTGCTTATACTTTAAAAAAGAAAACGATAAATACTTTATCTAAAACTATCGACAGTACAAACTGGACCAGTCCAGCACCTCCTGCGGTGCCGCCGATTCACAGTGGCTCCATGTCCGGCTCCGCCGGCCTGGCAGGCAGCAGGCTTGGTCCACACCATCCTTGCATAGGTCGTGGCTGAGGTAGAAGTCCTAATTACCTGCAGGGAGGAGGAGCACAGGTTAGATGCATTTAACATGCCTACCTCAGCTGAGCTGCCCCGCAGGATACAAGGGCACAGGGGATGTTCCTGGCAGGTGCCAGTGGGCCCAGCCCCCTCCGGCTCTGCCTTGCTGAGCACACACAGTGGGTCAGCTGGAGAGGTTCTAGCCCTAGGACTTCCAGATGGCATTGGCCAGGCTGCCCTATGCCCAGGCTACTGCCATCACATGGCTGTACCCAATGGAGAAAGCCAGAGGGCTGCCACCTGGCTCTTCTTCACTCACAGGGCATGTCCCTACCACCAAGATGACAGCCAGGCACAGTTTCGCAGCCTCTAGTCTGCAAGAGGTGGCCAGGGACCTGCCCCCTAGACCGTAAGGCCCAACTCTGTGCTCAAGGATGCAACTTTCTGCCTATGGACAGCCTAGAACCTCACCCACTGACTACCCCCTATTTCCCCTGAACAAGTGGACTACAGGACAGAGGCCTTAGTCTAGAGCTACAAATGTGACTCCATCTTCAGGGCCTGCTACGGGCTAAGAGCTCCATGGTGGGTGGGGGCTACCTTGGCTCTGATCTGCCACACTTGAATCTCATCACCTCAGTTGTCCTCTCAGCTGCTGGCTGAGGACCAGGTAGTCTTGCACAACGGTGGCCCTGCCTGCCTCCCTTAGCCTCCCATCTCTACCACTCAGGACCCCGGGTTAACTGCCGAGCCCTGACAGCCGTCTTCTGGGTAAGAGGAGGGATGGTGTGGCTCTAGCCTTACCTTACACAACATGAACTGCTAGCTAAGCAAGGTCTTTATCGAGGCTTAACCCCCGAAAGGTGCGCAGCATAAGGAGGCGGCATGCCAAGGGAAACCCACACAGCAGATGGCCCCGAGGAGCTGGCCTGTGGGGCTGCGGGCGCGGCCTGTGCCAGGGCCAGCCGGGGCAGGGGCTGGTGGTGCACCGTGAAGGAGGGGCGGGAGACCTTGTGTGGGAGGGAGGCGAGCTTGACAGATAGAGAGGCATTAGCAGGCTGCAGAGAGGCGGCAGAGGAGGGGGGTAAGAAAGCGTTGTTAGCCGGGAGGGAAGCCAGGCCCTGCAGAAGCACTGGCTCAGGGTTAGAAGCCAGCAGCGCAGGCGGAGGAGGCAAGGCGACGTTAGGAGGAGGGGGTGCATGGAGGACAGGTGGCCCCGCAGGGGGCCGGCCCAGGTGCTGAGGAGGAAGTAGGGGAGGTGGAGGGGGCGGCCGAGTCTCAAGGGAAGCCGCGGCCTGAAAGGAAGAAGCCGAGGTGCTGGCCGCCGCCTGCAGCGGGCTCAGGCCCAGCGTGGCACTGCTACACACAGCCCCGCTGCTGACACCAGCTCCAAACGGGTGAGCAGAGGCGGAGGGCACCGCGTGGGTAAAGACACCTGTAAACAGGAGAGAAAAAGCAGCTTCAACAGGTGGCACGGTCCAGGCGGGCGAAGCAAGAGGAGCACAGCCGCCAGCAGGGAGAAGCAGAGGACAGCGTGACTCCGGTCCAAGCGCAGGCAAGCAGCAAGCAGCAGGCTCAGTGAAGGACACTTACCTGCCAGGCCGAGGCCCCGCCCCTCGGGCCCACCTGCCCGCCCCTGCCCAGCCGGGAGCGTGCCACGCCTGGCCCGTGGCCCAGGCTCTGCTCCGCCCTGTGTCTGAGCAGGACCGGCCATGAGGCACGTGGGTGGTCACCTCAAACAGGGGAGGCCCCAGAAGAAAGGACTGCCCTAGTTACAAGTGCACCGTGGTCTTCTGAAAACAAGAGGCATGCGTTATGAGGCTAGCCAGCAGTCTTCTCCAGTCACATCGCCTACTAGGTTGGCCTGCAAGGTCACACGCCCCTTTTGCCCTCTGGAGGGCGTGAAAGGAGCCTCTAAGTGGCTGGTGAGGGGCTGAGCTCCTGGACTGGGGCCAGAAGTCCACAGAAGTCGGCCCTTCCTTGCCTACCTCCAACGGTTCCGCCGGCCACCCCGGAGGAGAAGCTGCCCATGGTGTGCGAGTTGGTCAGTCGGGTCGCAGTGGATGATACATGCACTAGGCCTGCGGCAGTGGGCACAGTGCTGAACAAGGACTGAAGCACGGAGGAGCCAGCCACAGAGCCCAGGTTGGCCTGTAGGGACATGGGTCCCAGAGTAAACTGGGGCCCTGGGGTGAAGGTGCTCAGGAAAGGCCGGGGGGCCTGAGCAGTGGGCGTCGAACTGCCCGAAGAGGAAGCCACAGTTACAAGACCAGGGCCACCGAGGAGGCCACCTGGAGGCACAGCTGCAGCGGAGATGAAGAGGTTGTGGCCGCCCTTGAAGTCCAGCTCGCGGTCACGGCCTTTGCTGGCCCTGCTACCATGTGGCAGTGTGGCCTTGTCCGCCGGCCCGCACGGGGGCAGGGCCTCGCCTGACTCCTTGCCCGCATTGCCCTCGCCCTTCAGGCCACTCAGGCCCTCCGGCTGCCGCCTGCTGAGGAAGGGGTTGGCTTCTGTGGTACTGTCCTTGCCCCTCTGGGACGGGAAGCTCAGGGAGGCACTCAGGCCAGTCACATCAGGGCCCTTGTGTGAGAGGGAAGCACCGTCGTTGAAGCTGTGTAAACCGAGGTCTGCAGCGAGGCCTCCGCTGAAGGCCAGGCCGTTGGGAGGATTGGCGCCAGGGCTCGGCCCCTCGGCCGGAGCCAGAGAGCCGGCAAAGCTCTTCCTTGGGTGGGTGGGAAGCTTGGCCTCAGCAGCGGGCTCCTCTAGGGGCGGCCGGAAAGAGAACAGGGGGCTGTGGCTCAGTGCAGAGCCAGCCTGCAGCGGACTGTCTACGGCCTTGGCCAAGCTGAGGTCAGAGATGGGCGAGAAGGTGGACTTCCATTTGCTGCTGTTTATGGGCTCGCTTGAGGGGGCTGACTTCCTTCCCGCTAAGCCACCACCTGATGGGAAAAGTCAGTGGCCATGAGCTGAGCCTGGGGCCTGCTGCTTCCCGTGCCGGGGAAGTGCGCTGAGCCTACTATGGGGTTGACAAGAGCTGGCAGAGGTGACGGGGTCATACAAAGCTCGGGTTCTGTTGCTGACACGACGAAGGCCTCCGCCCCCCCCCCCCTCCCCAGCATCTGTGTAACAGATGCGGTGCGGACTGGCCTGCGCCTAGCACAGGCACCCCCCCCCCCCCAGGCTCGAGGCAGGGAGCACATTACTTACCGTTTTCCAGCGTCTTTGGGGGAGACTTGCTTTCTAAGGAGATTGTTGCAATTTTTCTCTCAATTCTGTGCAAAGAGAACCATCATTTACATTTGATGCTCAGACAGGACAGGGGACTGCAAGTGTGCATGAGTCAGAAAAGGGAGGGTCCAAAGGCTGCCCTCAGGCCCCATGTGAAAGAACCTCTGAAGAGACCCTAGAGTAAATCTAGGCAACCAGCAAAACTAGAGCCTGCGCATGGGCTGTCGTGCGCTTGGGCTGTGGTAGAGGAGTGCGCTGTGCAGTGACGTCTCAGGCAAGGCGACTGCAGGGACGCCCTGTCCCAGGCGCCCCCCCCCCCCCCCCCCCCCCCCCCCCCCCCGGCGCCCCCCCGCCCCGGGCGCCCCCCCCCCCCCCCCGAGCTTAGTGCAGCGCTGGCCCGGCTCAAAGGCGGCACATCTGCTCCACCATGGTAAGCAACAGCGTACTGTGGGTCAGGGCATCTGTCAGATCACTGGGAAGAAGACACTACTGTCAAAATCACAGGGCGACCAGAACACACACGTGCCATAGTGGCTGCGCCGTGACACTGAAAGGTCACTGAAAGGTGGACACATGGGACCTCATCAATGCTCACACGGTCTCCAATGCAGCCACAAAGCAGGTGGGGAGAGGTGGCACATGTGACAGCTCAGACACAGGCAGAGCTCCCAGAAGCCTTCATGGAAGTACAAACACCCCCCCACACACACACAGGACTCCACCCCAGCCACAACAAAGAGACCCAGGCCGGCACCAGGGAGGGCAGCAGAACCCTGGGTGACGGAGCCAGTGTGCGCCTACCCACAGGACTCACCGGGTACTGCTGGGCTCGTCCTCAGAGCCTGGCTCCTCGTCTGAGGTCAGCGGCGAGTAATGGGCCCCATTGGTAGGGCCCAGGGGCCGCTCCTTCCTGAGCACCGGAGGCTGATCGTGGTCCTGGTAGGGCGTGGGGGAGCTCTTGAGGGAGTTCTCGGGGGATGAGATGGCTGTGATCTCCAGGGGCTGGTTGATGTTGCTGACCTGCGGGGTCAGGGGTGGGCAGGTGAGCGACACGTGCAGGCCAGGATCTTGGGAACCTGGCAGTCACAAGCTCCTTGTGAAGGTACATATGGGGAGGGGGGGGACCAGCAGGGCTGCACAGCAGCCACTGTCCCTGCCCGCTGGACTCCACCCCACAGAGCTCAGGAGCGGCATTCCCCTCTCTGCCCTGACAGGCCCTGAACTTACCATGGAGTTGAGGTTGAGAGGAGACCCGGAGGACTGTGTGAAGAGGCCAGCGACAGACGGCAGAGCCCGGCGCTTGGGGGATACACCCGTGCTGAGGCTTGGGGTTCCGGCTGATGCACGCTTCCTTCTGCTGCGCTTACGACTGTCCTGCCCGTGGTTCTGTACACAGTCCCCACGGGTGCCAGAGGTCAAGGGGCTATGCCTGGTGGAAGGCGACTGCTTGGAGCTGGGACCGGCTGCAATGCTGAACACAATCCTCCTCTTAGCTTCGCTCTCTGGGTCTGAGAAGGCAGGGTCGGAAGGCAGCTCCCCCTTGCCGGTGTCCGACAGCGGACCCTGGGCGGTCACACTCAGGCGAGGACTGGCTGCGAGTTGGTGGCCAGGAGAGGCAGGGCCGGAATTGCGGGACTGCGGCAGCAGAGGTGGGTGCTGTGGAGGTGTGCTGCGAGACCCCATGCTGGCGAAGAGGCTGCCAGGGCCAGAGGACTCGTCGAAAACAGCAGACTCCATCCCAGAGGCCAGAGGTGCCGGGCTGCTGGCCAGGGACCCACTGATGGCCACAGAGCCAGTGTAGAAGCCTGCCAATGAAGAGAATAGTTTCTCAAGGAAGGCAAGCGGGCTACGAGAACACCCCAGCCTGGGAGGGATGAGCTGAGGTCAGGAGTGGCTTCCTACAAACAGAGCTGAAGCTCCTAGAACAGCCCCTCAGCACGAGCAGGTGTGGGCAGGCCAGGCTCATAGAGGACACAGCCTCCTGGCTCCAATCACCCGTAAACACCAGAGTGCCCTGACAGCTGTCGCTGCCTGAACCTTCTAGGAGCACCACAGGAGAGCTTTCTGGAAAGGGTCCAGACCTTAAGCATCTCTCAGGAGAAGGTGCCTATCCTGTCCTACCCCAAAACAAGTCAGCAGGGACAGCCAAATACTCAATCCATTCTGGATTCAGAACCTCAGAACTACCTGCTATGTGGCCTCAGCCCTATTTCTGTCCCACAGGAGGATCTCATGCATGATAGCTAGTGAGGAGAGTCTGCTATGGGGTGGAGGTAGGAGGTCACCTGTGGGTCCCAGGGCGAGGCTCTTGCTCCCTGCTGCACTGGCCCCTGCACCATGGGCGGAAGCACCGATCTGCTTTTCAAGTGTGGATGAGGAGTCTCGGGGCTGCGGCACAGGGCTGGGAGTGCTCCTCTGCAAGGGAAACTGCCTGGTCAGAGTAGAGTTGAGGGCAGCAGGCCCAACAGGAGCCAATGGGGCAGAAAGGCTGCAGGCAGGAGAGGACCCAGAGGGGACAGAGCTGTGCTGAGCCCCAGAGTCCAAGCAGAAAGGTCTGGTCACAGTCAGTTAACAGGCCCAGGGCAAGACAGTCACAAGCCAAGGCCAACCACCACCACATGAGTTCAGTCCAGGCTGGGACACGAGACCCTGCCTCAAACAGGGCAAAAAGAAGGCAGGGCCGCCCTGTCCGCCTGGCCCATCCTCTGTGAACAAGTCGGTCAATCCCGATATGCGGCCATTCGAAACAGCAGCCCAGGGCTGTGCCTGTTACCGTTGCTTCCATGGCTGAAACTCCTGAGAGGACTTTTCTAGCTCTTCTCTGCCTTTGCCTCTTAGAGAACTCCCCAGGGCCCAGCTACATGGCAGCAGAGTTACCTGTGGACTTGGCTCTCCCCAGTTCCAGCACTCACCCGCATGCTCAACGATCATAAAGACCAAAGCTGTTCCTGGAGGACCCCCACAGCTAGTGCCACCACCACCACCACTCCCACCACCACCTGGCCTGGCACACTCACCGCCCTCTCGGCACGGCTGGGCAGCACCACGCTGGCCAGTGGGATGCTGACAGGCAGCTTGTTGGGCTGGACTGTGCTGAGCGGAATGCTGACGGGCAGGCTGGTGATGGTCTCCCCATGGCTGCTGTAGGCACGCTCCTTCACACCCTGCCAACAGATGGGAGCTCAGCCGGAGGCACACCACAGAAGCTATCCTCAGGTCATGGGTTGGCAGTCCAATGTTCACACCACATTCCTTGTGTGAAACTGAAGACGCTGCTCATTCCCCAGATTCTTTTCCCTGCCTCTGTGGCTGGGACCTGTCACTGTGGGCAACCTGGCTCCCCAAGATTCCTTCCCATTCCTCCCAAACTCCCCTCCATCTCTGTGCATACGGTGGCAGCTCCAACCCCTCAACCCCAAACCAGATCCCCCATGCAACTGGTTAAACCCTGCTCCAGCAGGTGAGCATCTGAGTCCCCCAAAGACAGAGCTGTCTGAGGGAGGCTCTGACACCCCTGCCTCTGCAAAGAGCACGAGGCCTAGGGAAGCCAGTCCCTGACTCTTCCTCAGGCCTCCACACTAAGCTTCACGCACCCTACAGGTGAGACTGCCTTTGGAGGGCTGCAGTTGCCTGCTCCACTCCTCACACATCAGGCTTCTAAGCAGCCCCTCACCTTCTCACTACCCTTTTCTGAGGTGAGGGGTGACGTCGCCGGGGAGGCCATTGGTGGATCCTGGGGGCTGAGCTTCATGCTGTTGGACAAGCCGGGGCTTTGGTAAGGAAGGCTGCTCTCCTTGGCGTGCTCTGCCCTGCAATGAGAGGCCGGTCATTCTGCTCATGCCCAATAGCCCCAGGGCAGCAGGTGGTGGCAGAGCTCCTACATGCACCTGTGCTCACCGAGGGTGTGGCTCACTGGCAGCTGCTTTGCTAGCCCCGCTGTGGTCCTGGTTCATGTGCCGCCTCAACACAATCTTGGCAGGTGACAAGCGGGTATAGTCAGGCAAAGCCAAGCCAGATGACTTTTCTAGACGAGGCCGGCTACTATGGCTAGGGGTGCAGGGTACAACCTCCTGGTCCAAGGGGGAGGCCAGGTACTGGGGGGTGTTCTGCTTGGACGAGGGCCGACTGGCTGCACTGCAGAGCTCATAGCCTGCGGCATGGCCATTCATGGAGAGCTCGGGGCTCATGCTGCTGAGGTGTGGAAGGGAAATCTTGGCACAGTCCAGCTCAAGGCGCAAGCGCCCAGCATCAGCCTCCAGGTCTCGGCCCAGGGCACCCTTGCCACGAAGATGCAGGGAAAGAGCATCATCTGGTGGTACACAGGACTTCAACTGCAGGAGCTCCTGCTGGCGCTGGCTCTTCTCCAGCTCCACGATGCTGATCTACAGGGTGGGAGAGTGTCACAGAGCAGGCTGGGCTCTACCCAGCAAGGACGGTGGCACATGAAGGTGGCTGTACCCCCCCCCCCGACCCCCGCTGTCCATCGTCACAGATGCCCTTCTGAGGATGGGAAAATGGAGTCTGGTGCATCACACCAACACCCACCTGCAGCTCCAGGCAGTGTCGCTGCTTCTCTGAGATCTGGCTCCTCAGGGCCTGCTTCTCTTTGCGCAGGTTCTCCAGGGACAGGGTGGACCAGTCTAGCCTTAGCTCCTCACACCGGGCCCTGAGCTGTGGGTACATGGACAGGAGTCTGAGCAGCTGAAGGAAGCAAGGGCCAGGCTCTCTGGCAGCGCCCTAAATGCCTCCTGTGATGGTGGCACATGGCATCACTACCCATTCACAGAGAAGCAGGGGTGAGACAGGCCCATGTGACCCAGCACTGGACAGAACAGGAGGGAGCAGTCCCTGGCCTGATCCTTGCAGAGCCCAGCAGCAGGGAGGAGGGGATCCAAGTCCAGCACCAGGGCTCAGCTCTGGGCTATGAGTGAGCCACCCAACCCCCCACTCCACCTACACACACAGCAGCCACAGGGCTCCTGCACACACCAGCCGCAGGCTCTGGCTCCTTAGCTCACTGTTGTCCTTCTCCAGCTGCTCCGACTGCTCCCGCAGCTGCTGGTTGTGGGCAGAGATCTCCTTCTGGGCCTGAATCAGGTCATTGTAGGTCAGTGCCTTCACGCCCAACTGGGGATGCAGAGGACAAGGCAGGGTGAGTGGAGTTTCAGTGCACAGGAAACACAGGGGACGAGAGCTACCCTACAACCCCAGCCCAGTATAGCCGAGGGCACTCTCTCCCTCCAAGGTAACCGGCTAGCCATTCCATGGTCAGTACTTCTCTAAGGACAAGGGAAGCTGGTCTCTGGCTGCCTCACTGAACCCTGGTCAGGTGTGTGCTAAGGTAGACAGTGGGCCCAGTCACCTCATCCAGCTTCTGTTGGAACAGCCTTCGGATCTCTTCCTTCTGGGCCTGGCAATGACCGAAGAGCTGCTGCGCCGTGCCCAGCAGTTGTGTGTTCTTCTCCTGCGAGGGAGGACAGAAGCAGGTGACCTCAGCGCCCACCAGGAAACCCTAAGCTGACCACTGACAATAAGACAGCCTGCATACCTTCTCCTGGTCCAGAAGCTTCTGGAGGTTGGCCTTGTACTGTGGGGTCTTCGTGTAGTCCAGAAACTGCAGGTACTGGATCTTGAAGGACTCTGGAGGTAAACAGCACAGCATGTGAACGAGGGCTGATGCCAGCACCCATCCTTGAGAGAAGGAGTGGAGGCCAGCAGGCACAGGGAGGCTACATGGGGCTTAACCTGCTGCATGGCCATCCCTGCCCGAAACTTGATCTTTTCTCGAAATGTGGGAGTTCCCTCTTGGCAGCACGGACAGCCCTAACCCTGAGAACAAGTCAGGGACTTGGCAGCCTTCCGTGTGTGGTGGGGTTGTTTTCTGTGACTGCTGACGAGTCACAAATCCCCAGATACGGCCTGGGGTCCCTAAGGTAAGGCAGTATCAGCTACTCACAGGGACCACCCAGCATGCTTGACTGGGATCCCACCATTTCCACAGCCCCCACAGACCGGCTTCAAGGTCAGATCCACGACCTACCTAAAAGCTTCTGCAATGCAGGCGGGGTGGGGGCCACCAGCAGCGGATTGGGCGAGTGGAGCTGCGTGCTCGGAGGTAGGTGGTAGAATGGGCTGTGAGGTGGCCTGTACGCATCTGCAGGAGAGAAAGGGGATCCCCATCACCAACCATGGTCCCACACGACTGCAGGCAACAGATGCCTCAGCTTCAACTCTCGGGCTTTAAAGCACCTTTGTGATGCAGAACCCCACAGAGCAGGCCTGGCTCATGACACACAGTCCTGATGGGACTCCAACAGGAAGGATCCCACAGCCACTCGAATGGGGATCTGACGGGCAGGACTCACACTCACGCTGCCATGCAGAACAGGAAGAGACTCACCCTGGGGTGAGGCTGAGGGTGGGGCTGGGGGCGGAGAGCGCAGGAGATCCAGTGCACTTTGGCTCTTCTTGGACTTGCGCTCTGCACTTGCAGCACTCATTTTCTTGGGCCGCCCGCGCTTCCGGCCAGCCATCTTTCTCCCTTTCTTGTTGAGTTTCTTCTTCCGGGCTTTGGAGGGAGATGGCTTTTTGACAGTGGCCACACCTGACTTCTCTTCCTCAGCACCAGAATCCTGGAGAACATAAAGAAGGTGGTGAAGGGCCACAGCCCTGGGTACCCCACCTGCCTGCCGTGTGCAGGGAGGGCCGGCGTCTGTCTCACCGCAGGGGCCTCTGTGGTGGCCACCTTGCCCTCAGGGACCTTGGTTGGGGTGGCTGCGTTGCTCTTGTTCTCGCGCTGCTGCCGACGTCGCGCTGCCTCCTGCTCCTCCTGGAGGAAAGTGGTGGACAGGTGTTTAGGACGCTGGAGGATCCCGCTCTGCCCCAGCAGGAATGAAATAGCCACACACACAAGACACTGGGAAAGGCCCCACAGCCCCTCTGTGGCGAAGACACGAGCCTGCCATGGTGTTGTGGCCCAGGACTGCACCTGCATTGACAGCTGCAGGACCACAAGGCAAAGAAAGCATGGCACATGAAAGCCAGCATAGACACCCAACTGTCCCACTCAGCAGGACAGATATAGGCCCCAAAGAGCTAGGCAAAGCCAAACCACAAATTAAGGACATATTTGCTCTTGGCACAACACGGCCACTGCTGACTTGAACCCAGCAGGTGAGCCAACCTTCACGGAGTGCAAACCTGCATGCCCTCGTGGAATCACGGCGGAGCTCAGACCCCGGCTAAAGATAGGCACCGTTCACAAACTCTGGGGTGTTGAGTGGGATGCACTCCTTGGTGGTGGTACAGCTGCCTGTTGAGCTGTGCACACTCCTGTAATGCCAACAGCTCACCCCTTCACCAAGCAACAGCTGGTAGAATGTTGTGCTCTCCTGTTAGTGCCCATGTGGAGTGGATCATCTTTGTTCACACCTCTCCAGAGACAGTCACCCAATAGCCCGTCTAACGTGTCCTTGGAAGCAGGCGATGGTTCTAGAGAAGTGCCTGCCATTGGAGCACAATGCCCTGCCACAGGGTTCTAAAGACAGGCACCCTCAACTGGGAGTACACAGCCTGACACTGGGACACACAACACTGTGTGACGGAGACTGTGCTGGCCCCTGGCCCCTCTGCGGGACCATCACTCTAAGAAAGACTGACAACCAACCCACTACAGAGCTTAGGGCCTTTGGGAAGCCTGGGGTCCTTGGTCATACACACTACCAGCACACACAACCATTCACCATGATGCTTGTGTAGAATCAGTCAGGGGAGATGCAAACTTACCCTGAGTTTTGGATTTTTCAAACTAGAAAAATAGTTTTCAAGCTAAGGATAAAAAGAAAAAGCCATTAGAAGTGAGCCCTGAGCATGAGCACAGGTGGCCACACACAGATGCTGTGTCCCACAGGGCTGCCAGGCACACCAATGAATATCAAAGGTGGCACAGATGGAGTAGTATCTAGCCCAAGGCAGCTATCCTCCCCATGACTGCTAAAGACCCAAGGCCAGGACCACCCAAGAGGGACCCCAGCTGCCATGCTGGGAGCTCTGTGTAACACCACTGGCCACAGGGGGAGCTCAGGCCTCATCTCAGGAGCCCTGCTTGGCTCTCCCTCTTTACCCACAATAGGAAGATGAGGTCACAACTGCTGCTGGCTGGCAAGTGCCAGTTTACAGCACTGACCCAAGGAGGACAACTGCCAAATTGCTGCCTCTAGGAACCTAGAGGCCACCAGGACAGATGAGAACAGAGCTTGGGCTCGCACACAGAGAGCTCTGGCAAGGAGGGAAAGGCCAGCACACAGCTGGGGAAGGCTGCTGGTTGAGAATGGGTAACATCAAGACCAGAGGCCTCCAGATAACAAAGAAGACCAAGGGCTAAGACCCAGAGATGCCAGGGGGGAACGGCCTGTGAGTCTCTTCCACTCTGTAGGGCAACAAGTGGGACATACAGAAGTAGTCTGACATGCCGCGAAACTGTGGGCACTCACTATGGTGCGGTCAATGGTGTGCAGGTAGTAGGAGACAGGCTTCCCAGTCCACGACACAGAGCCCTTCAGGGGCGACAGCTCCACCACACGCATGATGGTGCCGATGTCTGTGGGCAAAACAGCAGATCAGGACTGTGGCAGAAGGCCTGAACCCTGAGCTACTGCGCACTTGCAAACAGCACTCTGCACAACAGCACCCCCCAAGCCTGCCCGGCTGCTGAGACAGGGGAATAACCTGGGGGCCCTCAGGAACAAGGTGGCAAGCCCGTATGGAGGGTCAGGCTTTGAGATTGGCCAGTATCAAAGCAAGCATACAGATTCTGAGCTGGGCCAGTAGTCAAGCCCACAGGATGGCTGACCCCCTCCTCTGGAAGGACCATGTCTAAAAAAGGACACGTGCTATACGGTGGCCAGAGGCTGGGGAGCAGCTAGCTAAGCAGTTGTAGGACAGAGCCCCATCTGACCAGGCACAGGAAGCCGGGTCAGTACCCTGTACACTGCTGGGCCCAGAGCTCACCACTCAAGTTCCTGCTGTTGATCCTGAAGTTCAGAGGAGCAAAGGGCTTTGAGGATACGATTCTGCCGCCTGCAACACAGAAACCCGTCACTGCCTCGTGTGCAAAACACACACACACACAACTGACGACCACAAACTAGGGCACGGATTGGGGCAGCAGTGAGGAGTGCCTGCCCAGAAGATGCTGGTTCTCACGAAACCCCACTGATGCTCACCCAACTCTGCACAGAGCACAGTAACCTTGCACTGTGGTGACATCATGGTAAGACCCAGGACCACCACAGGGCACAGAAGAACATGCTGTGCCCCATGTTACCAGGAGGGGAAGCTGGGCATATGGGCCTGCTGCAGCAGCTCCCTTAAGAACCCACAGGGAGGAGACCCACAGGCATGGCAGCTCAGTGGTTACCCCAGCATTCTGTGCAGCTAAGAGAGCCTGAAGAGAAACTGGGCTACATAGCAGGACCCTGGTTTTAGAAACAGAGCTGAGAATCTGATTGACTGCTGTAGCCCTTGAAGCTGGGGAGGTGACAGCAGGGGACAGGAATTAGAAGTGAGTCCTAAGAGGTAAACAGAGCTACCTCAAACCACAAAGACTCTAATAAGATTCAAACCCATGACAGCCATACAGGAAAACTTTAAAACACAGTAGTCTAAGTGTGGATGTACATCCCTTTAACCCCAGCATGGGGCAGAGGTGGGCAGATCTCTGAAGAGTAGGCTAGCCTGGTCTACTTAAAGAGTCTACGTAAAGAGTTCCGTGTCAGTCAAGGCTACATGGGGAAACTATCTCAAAATAACAAAGAGCCCAACTCTTGGGAATGTAGCAGATGCTTTTCCATATATAAGACAGCAGTGGGGTGGAGAGGGGAGATTGACACAGCATCATGAGACCCAGGATGGCTTTGAACTCCTTCTGTAGCCCAGGTCAGCCTGGGAGTTCTAAGCCTCCTGCCTTGGCTTCCTGGATGCTGGAACAGGCTTGAGCTCCACACTCAGAGACATTCAAAAGACTCTACCTGGCATGGTGGTTCCTTTCTGCTCCCAGCACTGGGGCAGCTGAGGCAACATTGCTCTGGGACAGCCTGGACTACATAGTGGGACCCCTTTCTGAACACAGCTGCTCATTCTGTTAGGGCACTGGCCTCCAGCCCCACTCAAAAGTCCTGCTTTCTGAGTCCTGTCCACCAGCAAAGGGGCCCAGACAGGCCAGAACAAGGTCAGGTTCATGTCACCGCTATGTGGGAAAGCAGCAGTGAATAATGGATCAGGGTGGAAGGACACAGGCCAATCTGGGCACTCACCCTATTAGCTTCCCTAAGCAGTGATGGAAATGATCTACTACCCACAAACACCCACAAGTGGGTACTTGTGCTGGATAGTTTTGGTCAACTTGACACAAACTAGGGCGGTCCAGGAAGAGGCAACCTCAACTGAGAAAAATGCCTCCATCAGATTGGTCTGTAGTCAAGCCCAAGGGCATGTTCTTGATTGGCTGCTGTGGGAGGCCCAGCAAGCAGTCCTGAGCAGTGTCAGTAAAGCTGCTGAGCTTGAGGCTGAGCTAGTTGGCAGTCTTCCACCTCGGCTCCTGCCTCGAGTTCCTGCCCTGCTTTCCTTTGGTGATGGAGTATGATCAGCTGTGCAAACCACATAAGCCTGTTCCCTCACAGGCTACTTTCAGTCATGATGTTTACACAGCACAGAAAGCATACTGGGACAATATTGCAGTGGTGGTCAGCACGAGGGACGTGGGTCTCTGAGGGCAGGGGAGAGGTTGGAGCACTGCCACTGAAGGCTGGGGCTCACTGCCATCAAAGCCTGGCCCACCTAATAACTGAGCATACTGGCCCTGAGGAAACAGGCAGGAGACAGGGCGACAAGTTAACCTAGAATGGATGACCGTAAAGGAACAGGCTTGGCCCCAAACAGGACGCATTCAGACAGAAGATAATGTGGTGGTGTACATTGTGATCAAGTTCAAGGCCAGTCTGGGTCTTGGCTAGCCGCCATCTACAGTGGGGCCCTGTCTCAATACACCAAAGGATGAAGGGATGAAGAAATGAAAATGAAGTAGGGGTAAAGCTCAGCAGACTGCCTGCTGAGCATACAAGACCCTGGGTTTATCCTTAGCACTCCAAAGTAACTAACTCTAAGAGCCTCAGGGAGACGAAGGACAGGCCCCACAGCAGACGCGCCACAGCTGTGATCCCTGCAGGGAGCAGGGATCACATGACAGCCGCAGACAGTGCAGGGCACAGCACAGGCAGCCCTGGCTCTCCGCAAGGGACAGCGTGGGCCGTGTGCACTCCTCATTCTCAAGTGGTCAGGGCCAGCTCTCCATCATGTCTGAAAGGCACAAACGTGTGTGCGGCTACAAAATAAGCTCCCAGGTGACAAGCCCTGGTGTGGGTGCGGCAGATGACTGCTACTGAGTGGGTCAGCTTTTCAACCATCTGATGGCTGGCTGGGCTATATTGCGGCTTAGGTGTCTCTGGCCACCAGGTCCCCCCCTTTTGCCGTCCAGCCCAGGAGCTGGGGAAGGATGGCAGGAAGCAGGTAGAGCTGGGGCTTCCATGTCCTGCCTGTCGTGAGTGGGGAAGGTGTTGCTGAGGACCTCTTAAGGACGACTGTTGTGCCACATGTATCCTTGGAGGGGTGGTGGTACGAGGCGTGTGGATGGGAGGGCTGCGTTACCTTCCTTCATGTTTGCGAATCGCTCCTTCAGCTGGTGATCCACCTCAGGACCAAAGGCAAAGTTATTCACAAATATAACACTGCAAAACAATGTTCCAGTTCAGTGAAACTGAGGCTGTACGAGACACAGCCTGCCGCCAGCCCCTGGCAGGAGCTGCCCCCCGGCTGCCCACCCACCTGAGGTGAGCACAATAAGCAAGAAAGCAGGGGCACAAAACAGACACAAGCTGCCCCAGGAGGAGGCCGCAAGCCCTTGGCTGAATCCAGCACCAGAGCCTGTTTTGAAAACTAGCACTTCTGAAATAAAGCAGGCTTCCTGGAAGCACCCTAGCAGCAACAGAGTCCAGGGAGGGACTGCTCAAGCCAGACAGGTTAAGCACAGGGTATGAGCACGGGAACACAGACAAGCAGGCAGGTGCAATGTGACAGGCAGGCACTACCCCCAGGAGAAAACACAGGGGTGAGGCCCCAAACCACCTGCACAGCCTGACACACTGACCCCATGACAAGGACAGCACAGGATGCTCCAGGACTGCTGCACCCATGTGGGACAGACAAACAAGGGCAGGACAGGGCCCGCGGCCAGGTCAGCGCCAAAAAGGGACTCTTAAAGCAGCCGCCGCACACTACCCCCCGGACACAGTAGCCACCCACATCTGGACAGCAAGTCACAGAGGTCCCAGCACAGCCAGCAGCACAGCCCATAGCTGGCCGTACCTCGTGTTGGCGATCCGTTCCCTCCACTCCTCCGAGAGGAAGTCACCTCGTTCCAGCTAAGAAAAAAAGGAACACGCTTACTCACCTGTTTGCTCAGCTTGAACCCAGGCCCTGCAACTGCCGTGAGACATGGAATGAGCTGGGTCTCAAGGTGGGAAGGTGACTGTGGACAGCCAGTGGACAGCTCTACAGAGAGCTAGGCCTGAGCCCCAACAGGAAGCAGCATCCACACAGGGACAGACAAGAAGATGGTGTGTATCCAGGTGAGGAGCCACAGTGTCTGGCTACCCACCCTCCCTGCACCCCGGACTGTGCCCCGAGAAGAGCGTCACACAGACCATTTGTAGACCCTACAGACATGGGATGTAGCCGTGTGGCTAAGAAGCCACTAAACCCAGCATCCTTGTCGCTTGTGGCTGTCCACGAGAGCTGTGCCTGCAGATGATGAGGCTGACGCTGTACCACCTGGGTTAGTACCTGTTCGCCGCACAACTGGCCCAGAACTATGGCCTGCCCACAGCAGTACACGTGCTCCTACACCCCGGTGTGCCAGCACTGATGTCATACCACCTCCTTCAGGATGCCGATTGTTACAGGGAAACAGCTTTTACTCCAACTGCCCAGAGTTATGGCACTCAGAGATCCAAGTAATCTGGATTTTGAGTTCTAAAGGCCACCAGCTGCAATGCCAGGCCTGAGCCCCAGGAGCTCTACATGGGGCACAAGGGTAGCAGGGTTTATGAAGTCCTAAAGGCAGGGACACCCACGGACGGATGGATGGATGGACATACAGCATGGTCCGTCCTTGGTCTGGGAAGGCCTGGCAACAACAGGACTGCCGGAATACAGGACACTCAGTAGGGGACACAACAGGCAAACTACTGACCAGAAGTGGTTTTGTATCAGTATCGAGAACTGAGGGGAGAGAGTGATGTCAACCATGGGGCATGGGAAAGGCTCACAATGGAGGCCTTGGGCTGTGGAGTGACAGGATAACAGTACTGCAGAGCTGCAGGTCCAGAGCCACCCTGCTAGGATAAAGCTGTCCCTGTCCAGGAGGAGCTGCTCAGGCTCTGTCCTTCTGTGCGCAGAGAAACCACCTCCAGGGCAGGCTTGAGCTTGGCTGGCCAGAGCCCCTGTGGGCTGAGCACATCGGGCTAGAGCCTGCCTCTTTACTCCTCACTGACCTTCTTTCTCTACTCTGCTCTGTTGGACACATCAGCCTGACATGGGAACAGGGCTTAGGTCAAGCCCCCAAAATGCAGGGCGGTCCCTGGGCCGTAGGGCATCTGGCCTCTCAGGAGGCTCCTAAGCTAAACCAATGGAAGCAGAGACCAAGGCCCACATCATCCCTGCTGTGTAGCCCAAGCTATTGGACAAGCAGAAGAGCCATGTGTTCGCTTATACCCTAGGTGCTGGGTCTGAGTTTTAACCCTACAGTGTGTTCAGAGGCTCCCAGGGAGAGTACTGCAAGGCCTCATGGTCTCCCTGGCTCCTCTGTGGCTTTTCCTGTCGCTAAGAGTTGGGTTCTACCTCTGTGGCTGTAAGAATGGCTATAGGCTGACTCCACTCCAGGAGTCAGATGACTGCCTGTTATGACCCCTGAGCCCTCTGTCCAGGACAGGCCCTCCCCTGCAGCTGCGAAGTGCGGAGCCAGCATCCTTCTGCCTGCAGGTCCTAGCGCTGCCCTGGCCAGCCAGGCAAGGAGGTCTGGGGGGCCAGAGAGCTGCAGTTTGTATCTGGGCAGGGGCGGGGACTCCCAAACCCTAGCCGCCTGGCCTGGGATAGAAGGCCAGGTCTGAGCCAGCTATCCGCTACTGGAAAGCTCCCCCGGCACACACCATTCTGCAGGAAGACCCTTTGGACACAAAGTCCCTGAAACCGAGCACATGTGCCAGGCCCTCCTTCCCGGAGTGTACAGAAGAATAAGGATGGCTGAGAGGAACACTGGCACGCCAGCCGAGCTGCTGAGCTGCCACGGAGAAGCTCAGGTACACTGAGCCACCTGGAAAGGACGCTCTCCTGCCTGTCACACTGCCCCTGGCTTCTCAGTAGGCTCCAGGTCCCCAACTTGGGAGAACTGTCAGGCATGCTGGGGTGCGCCTTGGGGATGTAGCTGTCACTGAGTCATTTCTGCTCCTGTAAGTGACCCCTTGCCCACACTCCTGGAACTCCCCAATAAAACCCAAGAGTCCACCAAGCTGTATTTTGTCGGTTCCCTATCTGGGAAACATTTGTTTCCCGAGCAACAGTGTAGTACCTACACCTACCAACACAAAAAAAGGCAAAGGGGAGAGGAGGGGCATCCAGTAGGACAGCATCTATGAAACAAGTGGGGGAGCCTGACACAGGCCCCACTTTGGCCCTGGGAAGGGCCAAAAAAGGTCAAAATGGATGAGACCCAAAAGGCCATGCTGACAAGAGACCCAGCCACAGCAAGAATGCATCCCTCAGCCTGGAGCACAGAGCAGATGCAGATGCAGTCCCAGACAAACTACCCAAGGAGTGTGCCTCAGCAGGACTGGCTCCCCATGGGACGCCTCTGCACAACCAACTCCTCTGACGGGGCTGCCTGGTGAAGCTGCAGTCAGGGCTCACAGCCAGAGGCACCTCTGCGAAGCACTGCTTACAGAGCTGTACTGCTGCCAGGGTGTCAGGCACCCTCTGAACACATGACGTCACCAAGCACAGGAGCACTGGGTGGCACCATCTGCAGAGATGGCATGGCCCAGTGTCTGCCCCAAGCTGGATTAGGGCCCATGGAGGGTGGGGGAAGGGAGTGCCTGAAGCTCTCACTGGAAGCTGGTGTGGGCTGGGAAGAGCCAGGATCGATTGAGCCACTAGAGGGAGCAGGTGAGCAGACCCGGCTGGAGGGAGCACCCTAGAGGCCACGGCGCGGTGGGTGGCAGCAACCCTGGCATGAGGCGGTTCTGGGCTATTTTTAGGCTCCCCTGGCTTTTCTCCTGCGTGCTTCCAAGCAGCAGAGGCAGGGCTCACGCTTGCTGCAGACACTACATCAAAGCCATGGCACTGCACAGCCAACGCAGGCGCCTACGTAGATTCCTGGAAGTGGCTGCCAGTCACTCAGGGTACCATGGGAAGCCAGCGTAGCCATAAGCAGAGACCAACAGCCACTCTATCCCTGATGCCAGGTTGCTTCGGATGGTCACCGAGGCCTCATGAACTGTTCTTACCCTTAGTCTTACTCCCAGCCGTAAGCCACAGGCCACCTGCATGAGCGCTGAGACCCATGAGGACCCAACAATGACAGCCAACATGACAAACAGCTGCCAGACACACCTACATGGCAGGCTTAACTACATGGGTCATGTCATCCAACAATGACAAGCAGGATCTTCCTGAAAGCTGTGTCACTTTTCAGACGGAGAACTCCTCTGTGTGTGGGGGTAGGGTGGGGGGTGGAACTAACAGGCCCCCACAAAAAGTACAAGAATTCATCACAGTTAATGTGCAGGTGAGAAAGACACATTTGGAACTTCCCCGGGTCCCAGGCACAGGTATCAAGTGGGCCTCTCTCCTAACATTCCACATGGGACGCCTTCACCAAGAAAGCATGGGTGAGCTGGACTTAGAGCACAGCTCTCAAGTCCTGCTCCGGGAAGGGTGACAAATGCAGAGCAGAGCCAGCAGAGTGGTCAGCCACAGCAAGTCACTGCAGGCTGCCCCTCCCAGCTGGCCCACAGGGTGGCTTGACCAGATTTCCAAATCAAGAACCCAGGGGTCCAGAGCCCTAAAGCCACGGGCGAGGCCAGAGTGCAGCTCAGCAGAGTGCGCTTGCCCAGTCTGGTAGGTTTCCACTCTACCGAGCTAAGAATCTACCACCATGGCCCACGGTCAGCACGTACTGTCTCAGAATGGGTGCCAGGACAGGGAAGCAGGGAAGGGCAGGACATAGCTGAGCTCTGCAGCCAGCTCCAGAGCCTGCACCTGCTGTCTGTCACAGAGGACTGTAGCCACAGAAGACAGCATACAGTCACAAGGCAACACTGACTGGGTTAGAAGAAGAGAGGAAAGAGGCTGGGCAGGACAGAGGCCGAGGGCATGGAGCGATGGCACTCACTGTGTATTCTGCATGCTTTTTTCCATACCATTTCATCCACTTCCTGAACTCTCGGTCCATGGTCTGAGGAAAAAAAGCACACCAGCTGTTACAAACTCAGGGCAGCTGAGGCGGTGGAGGGTGCACAGGCTCCGCAGGATCACACTGAACAAGATAGTGGAACCCATCTATAGTGACCCTGCTGTGGAGCGAGGGGGGGGGGGGAATGACACCCAGATGAGGGGCCATGGTAGAATCGCAAGGTTCCCAACTTCCAACAGAGCTCCAAGACCATCCTCTCCAGCCACAGTAAGGCTGGTCCCTATCCCGTCCTGGGAGGAAGAAGGTGGGTGGAACAGGGTGGGGATGGGGCAGGGGGCACAGCCACAGGGATGGAGCGCAGCCCCATCCTCACTCAGGAGGAGGCAGCAACTCCCTGCAGTGCCACAGAGCCTGCCAGGGCAAAGGCTGCTGCTGGGTGTCACAGACAGACCTGGCCTGGAGGAGCGTGCCCAGACAGAGAAGCCCTAAGCAGTGAGCACACGCGGCCACTCACCTCTGCGTACTTGGCCGGGATGTCCGCTTTCTCCACTCCGTAGTGATGCTTGCAGCTGGTGGCCGCAGCGACCTGAAGGACAACCTGCCCCACACCTTCAGCCAGAGAGACATACATCAGTCTGTGCGACCTCCACAGAGCCCCAGTGGCCTCAGCCACCTGACAATGTCCCTTGGCATGAGAAAGGAGGCTATTCAAAGGCACAGACTCCCCACCAGAGGATGTCTGTGATGATCAGTACCCACAATTCTATCTGTGACCATGCACCCAGCCTGTTCCCCCTCAGCAGTTTGGCAGGGCCTGGGTGTTCCCACATGAAGATGGCTATCCTAGGCATAGTGGTCCTCAGAAAGGCGTTTGTTCACTCAAGTCCCTGGAGAGCTGTAGCTAGTGAGTCCGGCAAGCTCCCTGACCTGACAGGTCTGCTCGGGATGAGGAACAAAGCAAGAAACACAGAGACTGCTGGTGCCTGGCACCTGCTGGCCTATGCAGCAAAGCTAGGTCTACCAATGTTGCTTCATGTTGTCAGAGATTGAGAGTCTCAAGACAGCCCTCCACATTTTAAACGGCACACACTGGCCTGGGCACAGTGCTTTCAGGAACAAGCAGCACGCTGCTCAGAACCACGGGGTAGAGAAGCCGCATATTACATACAAGCACTTTAAGGAGATGTAGGGTCTGACTGGAAGGCACCCCTCCACAATGTTAGTAGAGTGAGTGAGACCCGAAGTTCCGCTGCCTTGGGAGGGGTTCTAGAAGGTGAGGGACCCAGGAGGCTCAACCCTCACCACTGGACCAGCAGCTTCTAAAAGCTGGAGGGAACAGCTAGGCCTTTTCCAGCCTCTAGCTCCTGCCCCATCAGGTACAGGAAAGATATCCTATGCTGACATGACAGTTTTAAGTCAATGTAACAGAAGCTAGAGTAATCTGGAAGGAGGGCCCCTCAATTGAGAAAATGATCCCATAAAATCCAGATGTAAGCTATTTTCTTAATTAAGTGATTGATGGGGAAAGTCCCAGCCTATTGTGCTGGCCCTGGACTGGTGGTCCTGGGTTCTATAAGAAACCTGAAAGCCAGGCATGGTGGTGCACACGCTTAATCTCAGAATTCAGGAGGCCGAGGCTGGTGATCTCTTGTGAGTTTGAGTCCAGCCTGGTCTACAAAGAGAATTCCAGGACAGCCAAGGCTACACAGAGAAACCTTGTGTCAGAAAACCAAAACAGAAAGGAAGGGAGGGAGAGAAGGAAGGGGAAAGAAGGGAGAGAGGAAGGGAGGGATGGAAGAAAGGGAGGGAGGGAGGGAGGCAGAGAGTAAAAGAATGAAGACAGAAAAGAGAGAGGGAGAGAAATAGAGAGCACAAGCAAGCAGGCTGAGCAAACCATGGGAAGCAAACCAGTAAGCAGCACCCTCCATGGCTCTGCCTCCTCTCTCTTGCACTGTTTGAGTACCTGGCCTGACTTCCTCCAATGACAGACTACAACCTGGAAGAAAGAAACCTCTTCCTCTCTAGCTTGCTTTTGGTCATGGTGTTTCATCAAAGCAACAAAAACCCTAACATGCCCCGCCCCCCAGGCAAAATGGACACCATCAGAACTACAAAACTTACAATGGAAGTTTCGGTTTCTTCGTAAACTCAGCTATGTTACATAAATATGTTTTTGTTTTAACCCCAAGTGTGGGATTTTAGTTGGGCTATAGTTTGTCCACACGTCTCTCGTGCACGGCATGGCTGTTGCCAGCTGCTAACACCTTCCACATGCACGGGGGGGGGGGGGGGGGGGGCGTGGTCTAGGGCTCTGAGGATATAAATATGAGAGCCAAGAAAGAGAAGGTGTGGCACGTGACAGTTTGGAAGGACGGAGAGATGGACAGTGGGCAGCTGGGAGCAGACAGGTGGAGAGAAAAGCTTGGGGATGCAGCAGCGTGAGGAGACTGCTGGCTGCTGTTGATGGGCCTGAGTGCAGCCCTCTGTGGGCCTTTGCTGGGTAAGGTTGAAGTCTGGTGCCATTTATTTTCAATCAGCCTATGATGATGGACTCCCTTTTCTCAGCAGGGTGCTAAAGTCTTCCTGATCTGGGTGACCCCAGGTCTTGTAAGGAGTGTCACACAGCCCTCAGGGTGGAGGCTAGACCCTTTTGTGGTTAGCTAGCTAGCTATTCCTAGAAATGTGCCACCCTGCTAAGACTTAAGCAGTGACCTTCAATTGTACTTGGGATAATTAAGTACTGTGTTCTCCTTCTTGTGATAGGACCATGCTACTGCATGGGAAATGAGGCGCTGTACCACTACATGCAAATCACGTATCCCTGACCCTCTGACCCCAGCAAATCAAACACATTCAGCCTCGAAATCCCTCCCACTGTCCAAGGATTATAAATCCCTGATTTCATATAAACATGCTGGGGGTGCATGCATGCTGCTGACTGGCTATGTGATACTATCAGCCTGCACCATGGCCGTCTGAGATTTGTCATTCATCCCCTACCAGCCGTGTCTCACTAGGCCTGCCCTCTGGTCCACTGGGCCTGGGCTTTGACTGGCCTGTGCGGCAAGCTGACCAGGCATGGGCTTTGCCTGCACCTCTGCCACCGTGCACAGACAGCATAGCTGAGCTATAACACTCTGGCATCTCTTAAACTATGGCATGCCCGAGCTTCCATCGCCACCTGCGATCTTATGCTGAAAAAGCTCAACTGTAATACCCTGTGGAAAACCTTTTCCATACCCTGGCCTGGCACATGGGCATTGCTCTGAAGCACTCTAGCTGTCCCTGAGGAAAACAGAACCCCCATTCTCCATCCGGAAGACAAGTCCCAGGCCTGTGCTGAAAATCAGGCCCCACTGAAAGAAAATGGCAGCCCTAAGAGAACTCGACCCTAAACAACCAGGAGAAGGAGAGTCTGGGCCCCCATCTCCACTCACCTTCTCTCTCCTACCTAGGTGGGGAGAGGAGGCTTGGTGAAATGGAGATAGATGTCTCAATACCCCAAATAAAGTGGAGTTTTTAAAAAATGAATGCTCCAACAAGCAGCCACACAGGCAGCCCGGCAGCACTGCTCTGTCTGTCTGTGTGCACGTGTCAGTGTCTGCCCTAAGGGTAAGGCTGCACAAAGCTGTAACCAGAAGTGTCAGGAACACTGCTCTGGCTGAGGAGCTGCTAGGCCACAAGCCAGTGCGGGGGTAAAAAGAGGCAGCGGGGCTGAGAGCTCTGGTGGTGTGGGGAGCTTTGGCTCAGCCAGTGTCTTCCGCAAAAAGACCCTTTAAGGACGCGTGTGCAGCCCTGGGTGCACTGAGCAAGCTGAGGTCGGCTCAAAGGCTAGGCTACAAGACACTCACCACTGCCCAGGTCTACAAACAGGTCATCCTCGGTCATCTTGATCTCGTCGATCATCTGAGCTACCAGGTCGAAGGAGGTCTCCCCATACACCTCCGGGGAGAAGGGCTCGTAGTTGTTGAGCTTCTCTGGATCAGTGACAGAGTGGTTGTACACCTGCTGCAGGATGTGCCGCAGGAGCCCATTGGACGGCCTAGTATTCAGCTTCATGGGCTGTGTGGTGCCCTTCCACTGGGGACAAGAGGGGACATGGCCTATTACACTTCATAGCAGCCAGCACCATCTACCGGCACCCAAAACTTGGAGGCTGAGGCGGGGGAACACTGTCAGTTCAAGGACAGCTGCACTAGGCTTCTGGGGGCAGCTTTAATTAGGCTGTCCTGTAGTGTCACCTCTTGTCTTAGTGCTGTGGCTGGCACCGTGTCCATGTCCTATAGCAAACACTAAAACGGCTGGGGGGGAGGGGAAGGAGTACACGCCTTTGATCCTAGCAATTGGGAAGCAGAGGCAGGTGGGTCTTTGTGAGTTCCAAGTCAGCCTGGTCTGAGTTCTAGGACGGCCACAACTACACAGAGAAACCCTGTCTCAAAACAAACACAAAAGGTGTGCCCCACTGGTGAAGAGCCTACTTACTTGTTCACCCAGAAGTGCGCAGATAGCAACTCACAGCTGCGCATGTGCTCCTATGAGGGCACAGGAACAGCCCCTCCGAGCCAATTCAGGGTACACCAAGAACAACCACTGACAGAACCTTAGAAGCTTCCTGGCCCAAGCCCAGCCCTGCGTCCCAGGAGCCCTCCTAACTCCGGGCTCTCTGGCCTTGGGAGAGAAGCTTTACCTTAAGCTCTCTGGGAGAAGAAAACAGCAAAGAGCCACAGACCCAAGCGCACAGCCAGGCTGGCCCTGCACGTATACCTCGACATGCCTGCTCATCTGAGCCACCAGACAGAAGAAGGGCTCCCCACAGGGGAGAAGGGCTCAACCTCCTGGTCTCATGGACATGAACACGGTGCCAGCCACAGCACTAAGACAAGACGTGACACTGAAGCTCAGTTAAAGCTGCCCCGCAGAAGCCTAGTGCAGCTCACCCGGCTGGAGTCTCCCAAGGTAAAGGTGGCAATGGCAGGATCAGTGCCCAGTGAGCCAACCACTGCACAGAGCTGCACAATCGTCTTAACTCAAGAACTTGCAAAGCCACTCTGTGCCATCCACAGCTTCTCCACACAGCCAGGTCCTCCATAAGAGCGTTCCCTGATAGCACAGAACCCCAAAATGGCCTAGTGCCTGCTCAAAGCCCAATGCCAGAGGTGCCTGTGCCTTCTAGAGAGCTCACACCCTATGCTCTGCTGTCTGCATCCAGCTTGTCCACTAAGGCAGGCTGCTGAAGCACAGCTTTCTGCAGCTCTGCTGGGAGCAGGACACTCAAACAGCAGGCAGAGCAGACTAGAAGAGGCCTGAGTAGAGGCTCTGGGTTATGACCAGCTGCAGGGCAGAGGAAAGCGGCTTCACACAGGGATGAGCACAGATGCATCTGTGTAGCAGTAATGACCCAAAGACACTTGAGAAGGCCGGCTGAGGGCAGCTGGGTCCTGATGCCCTGCTACCCAACCCCCCTGCCTCACCATGCCAACAGTCTCCCCACCACCGTTTCACAGGCAGCAGGAGGTCCACTGCCCTGGGAGCTCCGGAGCCAGCACCATGCAAACCCACTGGGGAGTGCACAGTTGAAAGTGAGGCGCTACCTACCAGCTGGTGGATGCTGTCGATGGCCCGGTTGTATTTGTCACACAGCCTCTGCATGCTTTCAAAACTGAAAAGGAGAGAGAGTACGTTATTGGATTACAATGTACCCAGCTTCATAGATGTGTAGAGCTGGGTAACTGAATGTCCCACTAGAACCTCCATGTGGGGCTCCAGAAGCACCAACATAGTAGGACAGCCAGAGGCTCCATGCTCAGATAGTCCCTGGCCACAGGAGCGAGCCCAAGGGCAGTTTGTAGGTCTACACTTACACAATTGCATGTCAGACTGTGTCATTTAGATGAGGAACTTCAAGAGCATGTCGCTGGGGACATGGCTCAGCAGATAAAGTAGGAGGTCCTGTGAGGGAGCCCTCAGAACCTACGTAAAGCTGGGCAGGGCGAGGGACCTGTGGTCCCCATGCTTTAAGGCAAAAGGGGACAGGGTTGGCATGTGCAGCACTGAAAACCAGGAGAGCATCTCACACAAGGGAGAAGGTGGACAGCAGCCTAGGTTCTCCCTCACTGGAAAGAGCAGGTGAGAAAATGGAAGGGGGGTGCTCACCCACACCTTTACCCGAAGTCAGGAGGTGGAGACATGGAGATCTGGTCAATGTTACAAGGTCAAGGCAGCCAGATATACACAGTGAGACCCTGACTCCACAAAAGAAAAGAAAGCAGAGTTGGAGCTGGAGAGAGCCCAGAGGTTACAGTATTGGCGGCTCTTCTAAGAGGACCCAGGTTCTGTTCCCAGAACCCACATGGCAGCTCACCACCAGCTCTAATTTCAGCTCCAGGGGACTCTATGCCCTCTTCTGGCTCCTGTGGGCACTGCTTGCACACAGTGCGCAGGCATACAAGCAGGCACACGTTCATACTCCAAGTAACAGTAAATGAAGTCTTTGCAAAAGGAAACAGGCAAGTAGAGTGCCTTGGAGTACATGGGCAGTGGACTGAACTCCAGTTCGGCATCAGGCATGACCAAGTGCAGGTAGCCTGGAGACAGGCCTGGGGCGGGACCTCTCACTTAGGGGTGTCTCTGAGAAGAAAGGCAGCAGAAGAACGGATCTGGGAACACGGGTACAGCTCCATCGCTGCATGCTCAGAGAGGCCCAGGGGAGCCCATGATGGGGGGGGTGCTCTCAGGCACTAATACACACAGGCAGCCTCCCCCCCAGAAGCAGTAGTCACACAGGGCCACTTGATACACTCCACTATGAATCTGGACTGGCCCCAGGCTTACACCGCTCTTTTAGAAGGGTCTCAGGCCAGCAGCAGCCACAGGACAGAAGCATGGCTTCCCTCAACTGAAGCTGCTGTGGAAAAGCCAAAGCAGGGTGAGGTAATGGCACACACAGCCACAGTCCCAACTACTTAGAAGTTGGGTTCTGTAAGCCCGGAGCTTGAGGTCAGTAAGGTAAGAAAGTCTACTCTACCACCGGTGCGGCCGACAGCTCCAACACCAAGGCTCTGGGTGAGCTGCCTGCAGGACAAAAGGAGTTTCCAAGGCTCATGAGCTTCACAGAGGTGGTTAGATGTGCGGGGTCACCCCAACTCTGAAAGGACAGAGGCTCCTGCTTTGGGGCAACGTTCTGGAAAGAGTGAGCTCTGTTGTGGATGTTTTGGTTTATGATATGTAAACATGTTTCTGTTAAAATTCCAAGTTGGGGACTTTAGTTTGTCCACACCCGTCAAGTTCTCGGGCAGAGTGTGGGGAACTTTGAGGGGTATAAATATGACAGCCTAGAGAAAAAAGGCATGGCTGCTTGGAGGAGGGCTGCTTACTGCTGGCTTGATCTGCTGCTGTGTTTGCTGTTTGCTCATTTGCTGGTTACCTGGACTTTTGCATTTCTGGACAACTGATATTGACATTGCCCCCAAAATCCTAGAACCCTACCCTGCAGGAAGTAGCAGAGAGAACTCCGCCCCCTGCCCCCACTAACCTTCTTTGTCTCTTACCAGGTTGGGGGTTGGAAGGGAGGTAGAAGCATTTAATAAAAAGAAGATCAAGATCAATAGAGCTCTCTTCCGCTCAGATACTAGTCATGGGGTGGGAGGCCCAGCCAGGGGACTGGCTCAGGTCACTAAGGCTGGCCAGCATCACAAGTCCTTTCTCAAAATGAGGTCAGAGGTCAAGCAAAGCTTTGCAGGCAGAGCCCAGAATGAGGCAAGCTCTGAAAGGAGGTGGAGCCTGGGCTGGTCGGTCTCAAAGAAAAACAAACTCCACTGCAGGCAGCATTCCAGGGATGCCTTCACTTCTCCACCCACTCTGCTCAGAAGGAGGCCCCAGCTAGGGCCAGGACCGGTCTTACCCAGCACCTACTGAGGTGGAGCAGAGGAGTGGAATAGCAACGAAGAGCCAAAGGCAAGATTCTGGAAGGACCTGCTGCTATAAAAAGGCCAGGAGCTCACGTATCGGCCCTGTAATGTCACACATCAACTCAAGTGTGTGCAGTGTGGGGTTCCCAGGGATGGCCAGAACACTAGAGAGCTTCCTAGGTGCCGTAGAGAGGTGGCTGGGGAGGGTGTGGGGAGTCGGACAGTCTGGAGCGGCAGCCAACAGCCGGTCCACTTCCTTCCTGCTCACCTTTTGGTGTCATAGTCAATCAGGACATAATTCTCCATGGCCAGCTTGAGATCCGGGATTTCCTCGCAGACCCACCTGAAATAGAACACAGAGGTGCTGCTGGCCTCAAGCCCACACTCTGGAGTGTGTGTGTGTGTGTGTACGTACACTCGCTCGCGTGCGCTATTGTGCAAGTTCATGAGGAGCTACTGAGAAATCACACAGATTTTATGAGGCCAAGGTCAGTGTTGGCACTTGGAAAAGAAACAAAGTCATGTGCTACGGTTAAAAAGTAGAACAATAGCTAAACTCAATGACACAAAGCCAGCCACCCTGGCACTGGTGAGTGGGGCTGAGCAGGAGGTCTCCAGATCCTAGACCAGACTGGGCTACATAATGGGACCTTTCTCAAAAAAAAAAAAAAAAGAAAGAAAGAAAGAAAGAAAAGAAAAAGAGGGGGACCTGGCAAGATGGCTCAGAGGGTAAAAGCAACCAAGGCACAGGTGGAGAACCAACTCCACAAAGCCACACACATATACACACACAAACAGTATAAATAAACTCTGGGGGAGGGGCTGGGCGTGGCTGGGAAGAGCAGGAGGAGTTCAAGGCCATACAAGGCTATCTAGGCACAGTTGTATGTTCAAGAACAGTCTGGAATACAGCAGATAATTTTTTTAAAAAATTTTTTCCCTGAGACAGGGTCTCTTCACACAGCCTCGACTATCCTGAATGCACTATGTAGACCAAGCTGTAACTTGGCCTGAAACTCAGAGATGTTCCTGCTTCTGCCTCCCAAGTTCTACAGCGTGAGCCCAGCTTCTCTCCAGCAGCCAGACACACTCTTCTAAAAAGAGCTTCCCAGAAGCTTTCAACAGATGGTAGGCAAGGCTTTGAGCCTTTCAGTTATTTGTGCACAAGGGTAGAGGCTGTGTGCATATGTACTTATGAATGCACAAGACAGGGTGACTCTTGTACTATAAAATATGTGGCGGTCAGAGGACATCTGCAGCGGGTCCTCTCCTATCTTCACATGGCTTCCAGGGATGAAATTCAAACCAGCTCTGTATCCACCGAGCCAATGGCCTCTCTCCACTCACACCGCTGCCTCCACCTCCAAGCACTCAATGGCAATCTGACCACAAGTCTGGTCTCTACCGTCTGCCAGGGCTTTTCTCCCACTAATCTATGCCCACTGTTTCAGGAGCCACAGGAGAGGCTCCATCCCAACAGGCACGGGCAGGCACCCTAGGCAGCATGTCACAGGAAGGAGGCCCTTAGTGGTCCTCAAATTCCTGTCTTTCTCCAATCCACCCAAAGGTGGGGACTAGTGAAGGGATGATAGGGAGCTCAGAGACAAACCCAGTTCCATCTCACAAGAAGTGGCAGCTCAGAGCTCCATTCCCGCACGGCAGAGTGGACAAATAACCGAGGTTTTTCTCTGACAAGCACAGTGTGTGGCCAGGGCGATGGAGAGCTGCCCTGCAATTTGATGCATCTGCCAGAGCTCCTCCTGTCCCAGGAGGTCCCAGCGAGGACAGCACAGTAGAAGTGCTGGGAGCCTCAGGAAGCAGGTTCCAACCCCAGGGCTCACCCCACGCAGCACTCACCGGATAGTCTCGATAATCTCATGAGCAGCATCATGGTGCTTGTCCTGAAAGAGAAAAGGCCGCACAGTTGGTCCCCAGCAACCACACAGTGGCACCCTAATTCATCTTGTTCTGCGATGCACACCCACAGCACCTGGACCCCATAGACATGCTGACTGACTCAACTCATTCCCCTGAGCTGGAGCATGACTCAGACCTTTGTCTCCATGCAAAGACAGCGGGTATAGGCAAGTCCTACAGAATGCCATGGAGCCAGTGTCCCCACCTACAAAATGGGAAACAGCAGACGCCTCAGCCACTGGCCAGCATACGCCAGCATACATGCATGGCCACTTAAGGCCAGATCTCCAATCTATCACCTCAAGATGAAGCACAAGGATGGGAATTACACACTGACAAAAAGTGACAAAGGAATGAGGCAAGGAAGCAGGAGGCACAGTGCTCTCACCTCCCTGGGCAGGCGGGCCAGCGACCCTAAGAGCCTGCAGCCCTTCACCCTCAACTGCGCACCGGCTTCACAAAGCCCCAGCTCCATGACGGAAGTGAACTGGAGGAAGACTATGGCTATAGGCCTGCCTCATGACAACAGGCCACAAGTGCCATGGCTGGGCCCGGCCATCACCTGCTGCAGTGAACCCTGTGCTGCGTCAGGCATCCAGCCACGACCACACATATGGCAGGGGACATTCAGCACCGCCCAGGAACACCGACCTAAGTTCATAGGCAGTCTCCTGCTGTGGCTGTGTGGAGATGACCGCACTTAGACACAGGGACGATTCGCGGTAGGAAGGCACAGTAAGTGCGGGGCTCAGAAGTTCATGAAACTTCCATGACCCACATGTTGGGAGGGTCTTGCAGGGAACAGCCATTTTTCAGTCACTCACCTTCAGGCAGTGACCCCAGGGAGCACACACAGGTCGCCTAAGCCCCGCTCTGCGGTCTGTGGTGGTGCCCTGTCTGCAGTGAAGCGACTACCCGTCTCCCCAGAGAAGCCACTCAGCAGCAGGCTGTACCCAACTGTCAGTCCCCAACTGCCCCACCTCTTCCTTCCCACTGTAGAACAGCAAAGCAAAGGCACTGGCGGGCACACACACACACTTTCATGTCTTCTGCTGTCAGCATCCAGTGCACCCATCACTCTCCTGAGGCTGTCTTGTCCCAAGGTCACCCCAGCCACTCCCAAGCACTCAGGGCGCAGGACAGCAGCCCGACTTGCTTTGGAGACTGGGCAGAACAGAGAGAACCTACCGGTGCCGGTACTCAGCACCGCTGGAAAGGCAGGGCTCACACCATGACACACCATACGGCCTGGGCCACTGTCCGAGCACTCAGGAGCTGCTCAACCTAGGTGGTTCTCACAGCTCTCAGGCAAGCACAGCCCTGGCCCACCACAAGCTTATTCTCAGAAAGGGCTTAGAAGTGCTGGGGTGGGAGAGGCAGCTGGGTGGTTAGAGCACCAGCGGCTCTTGTAGAAGATCCAGGTTCAATTCCCAGGACCCACACAATAGCTCTCAACAGTCTGTCATTTCAGCTCCAGTGGATAGGACACCCTCTTGTGGCTTCCACAGCCACTGCACACACACGGTCCACAGATATACATATAAATTACACAACTGTACACATAAAATAAAAAAATGTTAAAAAGAAAAATCTACATGAGATCTACATAATGAGACTTTGTTTTAAAATAAAACCAAACAAAGCCTCACCTGACTGCACACATGGCCATCCTGACACTCTGCAAGCAGGTGGACTGCTGCAGGTCTCCTGAGCTGCATGAAGCTCAAGACTGGCTAAGACCGGAATAAGCAGAACTATTTCAAAAAAATAAAAAAAAGACATCCTTTAATCCCAGCTCTCAGGAGGCAAAGACTGGCAGGTCTCTGTGAGTTCCAGGACAGCCAGGGTGGTTACACAGAGAAACCCTGTCTCAACAAACAAACAAAACAAAACACAGAAAAGAAAGAAAGAGGAAGAGGGGCAAGGGGAGAAGGGGAGGGCTCCACTGGCCTAGAGCAGCGCTACACAGTCAGAAGGGTTCTAACACACCCTGGCACCTCTGCAGAGGGCACCAACTTTAGTGGTGGGCAGCTCAGCAGCAGGCCTTGGCTGCCATCCACAAGGCCCTAGGTTACAGGCCTAGCCCTGTCAACAGAAAACACAACACAGGTGACTGTGCACTCAGGAGGCTCAGGCAGGAGGCTGAGAATAGAACTCACAACCTCACCCACACTCTGCAAGCCCTCCAATACCATGCTACAACCCTAAACCTTGGTTTTCTGAAACTGGAGGTTCTCCCAAGTGGATTACCTGGGATTACTCTACCCATGTAGGGTTCTAAAGCTTCCCAACTTACCGAGGGCCATACTCTGCACCCTGCTGGGCCCTCTGTGTCCACAGAGAGGCCTGAGCCATGCTGGTGAGGAGAGCTGATTCTTTGGGCTGTGGTCACACCCTGACCACTCACTGGTCTCTAGGAAAGGAAGAGGCATGCAGCCACCTGACAAGGAAGGGACTGGTGGGCACAGCCTCAGGAGCTCAGGCTTATGAGAGGTGCTGGTCATCCTCTACTGGTTAACACATCTGGTGTGTGGTGAGGCATCAGAACTTCACTGCTGGATGTCAGCTAAGACAGTTTGTCCTTTCCTCTTCCCCAGTGCTGGTGATGTAGCCCCAAGCCTTGAGAACACTAGGAGGTTGGTCCCTACTGAGCAACTTCACTTCTTCTGGATTTGTGAGCAGGATCACCAATATAGACCAGGCTAGCCTGAAATGCCTAATCTTTCCCTGGCCTCCTGAGTGCTGCCGGGCTCACATATACACGCCACTGCGCCTGGCTCATCCATCTCTTCTCAGCACCACCACAGTAGTTCACGTCTACAAAACAGCAGCCAAGTGGTCAGTGGCATACGTCTTCAGTCACAACAGACAGAGGCAGGGCCGACCAGGGCTACCCGGAGACACTGAGTATTTAAAGAAGAAGAAAAGAAGGCAGCAGGCCGGTGGGCAGCAAGCAGGGCATGGTGGTGCAGCCCTTTGATCCAAGGACTCCAAAGCTAGCCCCTGCCAGTACCCGTCAGCTGCTCGGATCACACGCAGGGTGACTGACAGCAAGCAGAACATTGCCTGCATAGGGCAGAAGAGGCAGAGAGCGCACACAGACCCCAGAACAAGGCTCCTACCAAGGATCAGCTTAAAGGAGTTAGCATCCCCATCTCAGTGCCAAAGGCCTGTGGGAGACAGAATAGGCATGACCACAGAGATCCCCGCAGTGAGCAAACCTGAGGCTGCATCCTGCAGAGAAGCCTGGAGAGGCCTCAGACAGTGCAGCCAGTGACCTCTGGCATCAGCAGACAGTCCCACACAAAGCAGGACTAATAACCCTGGCTCCAGGTGGGCAGCTCACCCAGGTGTGCAACGCCCACCGCTCCTGCTGTCCCACATGGCCCTGCATACTGCATCCTATGAAAGACCCCTAGAAAAGGCCACATAGGGATATGGTCATATGACATATAGAGGCTCAACCTGATCAGCTGTCCCAAGAATGCATACCACATTCCAGGTTTGGGTTGTGTGTCTGCGCGCGCGCGCACACACACACACACACACACACACACACACACACACACACACACAGAGGGGGGCACTCAGTCCAGAACATCTCTAGTGGCTTTGGACTGGGAGCCTCTCGATGCTCTCTGTGCTGGCCTACAACTTTGGGCTCAAGGAATCTTCCTACCCAGTCTCCCAAGTGGCTAGGACCACAGACAAACTCAGCCTAAAGAACTTTTTTTTTTTTAAGACTTGACCCTGAACTCAAAAGTCCACACAGGGTCCCAGGGCCTGTGGGGATACCTAGCTTCCTGAGTGCCCACCTTCCTGAAGGCAGAAGGACGGTATGGGGTGGGGCTCAGAGGTCCACGGGAGGACAGTGTCCTTGCTTAGCTAAGAGGACAGAGATGAGGCCAGAGCCAGCCTGTCCATCTGTGCCAGCTGCCTGCCCTGCAGCCACAAGGTCTTGTGACACCACCTGCCCAGGCCCAGTAAGTGACAAAGGTGAGGCACTGACAGGAGTGACCATGCTCACCAAGACCCTTCCCTGGCAGGACTCTTCCTTCAGAGCATGAGGGCAAAGGACAGTGGCTCAGTTACCCTTGTCTGAGGAGAGCTGGGACAAGCACTGAGGGAGGGCCAGCAGCTCTGCCCAGCCCGCAGTGCACTGCACCTGGTCTCTGGGCAGCTTTGACTAGCTGGGACGGGCACCACCGAGAGGCTAGGAGCTCACAGAACTTGTTCTACATCAGAGGGAAGGTAACAAGCCGGGCACCCTCGCAGCACCTGTAACCCCAACCAGGGTGTGGAGACTGGGTACTGGAGCCTGCTGGCTCCAGCCTAACTGAGAAGGAAAATCATCAGGTCCAGCAAAGGGCTATGCCTCAAAGGAACAGACAATGACAGAAGAGGACACACTCACACATAGCACATGCCTGTACAAAGTCAATAAAGTTGAGTCTATTTTAAAAACTTTACTTGGTGTATATGAACGCCCTTATCAACACTGGTGCCACCCCAGTTCTTTTCCTGTCACTCCATCCTAGGATGAAGGTAGAACAGGTGCTTCAAGGGCCTACAACCTGGACCATCCCACACTCAAAAGCTACAAGCCAGGAGCAGGGGCAGAGGCAGAGGCAGAGGCAGGGCCACAGTGTGGAGCTGCACAATACATGTCCAGAAGAGGTCATTCTGAGACAGAAAGTATACTCATGGCTGCTCAGGACAGATGACTGCTCATGGGGGTGATAGACTGTTCTAGAACTAGACAGCTGTAACAGTTGCCTAGCCTATGACTAATCCGCAGATCCTGCCAGGTACTCTGAATGCTGGTTTTTGGTGCTGGGGAGAAACCCAGGGCTCCCCACAGGCTGGACAGGTGCCCCACGATGAGCTGTGTGTATGAGCTGGGCACAGCGCACCCTAGCACGCACAAAGCCATAGGCTCCATCCCCAGCACCACATAAACCAGGCAGCTGCTATGCCGGCACAGGTGAGGCAGTCAGGAGTCCAGACACACAGAAAGAGGGGAGGGAAGAATTGGAGGGGGCAGGGAGGTAGCGGGGAGACTGCATGAAGCTCCTCCTTGAGCAGCTTGGCCCTGCCTGCGCTCCTGGACTACTCAGGCCACCAGCAGAGCTGCAAGTGGTTGTGAGGCCTGTGCAGGACCTCAGGAGGCAGCCACGTGTCTTCACGCTCAGCCCCAGAGCTGGTGCCCATGACAGGCACTGTGTTTAATCAAGCCAGCAACAAGACAACACTCAGGTGCTGCATATCCGTGCTGCACAGCGCCATCCCACGCTCTGGATCAACCAACCTGGCTTGCACTCCGAGGACCGTGGGAAAAGAGGGGCAGGACTGCCACAGCAGAGAGCCACCTACCCAACCCGAGATTGGGCGGCAGAGCTGTGCCCCTGAACTTCAGGCAGTACCCCGTGATCTTCCTCCACAGCACTGATACCCAGAAACCAGCTCTGCAGGGCCCAGTACCTGAGCTGCCCCTCTTCCAGTTGTGGCAACCACAAATGTCCCTAAACACTGCCAAGTGTCAGCTCGGGGCAGCCCCCATGAGCCTGGCTGACTAACCTTTCCCATAAAGCAGAAGCAGTCACGCCTGCCTAAGTGTCACACATTTCCCACAGGCAGTCCTGTGGAGAGGTGGCTCTTCCTCACTAACCTAACAACTTCCCTGTTAAAGTGGGGACACTGGAACACTCCTAAGTGCATGAATCTATGCACACAAATCAAACATGTAAGCTGAAGCCAGCATGACATATTCATAGCACCTGGGAGAATGAGACAAGACTGCTCAAAGTGTGAAGCCAGCCTGGGCTACACGCTGAGGGCCAAACTTCCCTGGGTACAGAATTAGATCATCTCAGGAAAAAAAAAAGGGCAGTACTTCCACAAAGAGGCCCAGCTGGGGGTTCCCCAGCAGCCCCCAGGCTCGTCACGAACCTGCACACAGCCAATGCTTCACATTGCCAAACATGGAAGCCCCCCGTCATCGTTCCTTCCCTTCTGAAGAAGATTGCTGGCTCACACAGGCAGGCTAAGGGGCAGCCTGCCTCCTGCCCACGTGAGCATGGATTAACAGGGAAACTTACCCAGGAGGTCAGCAACAGAAAATACCTTCTGAGTCACACTGGGGCTGGCTCACTCTATCCACAGCACGACTCACCCAGCCACCCACGGGACTCCCGAGCTCACTGGAAGGGACAGGCCACCACACACGGCCTACTGAGTCACCATCAGGAAGGCCAGCCTGGCCCTCCCTCTCAGGTTTGTCCCCTAAGCTGCCTACCAAGCAAACAGCTAAAAATGGCAACTGCATTCTTTCTGCCAGAGGGGTCATTCTATGAGGTAGCCCTAAACTGTTGTAAGGTCTGCCCCCTCCCACCTGTCAGTTGTCCAAACCTGGTCCCCAAACTGGGCACTTCTGAGTGTGGGCACTCAGAACTGGGCACTCAGTTTATCTAAGAAGCCGGGCACCTGCTCAGGGCCACACTCTGTTCCTAATCTGCCTGTGAAGTTCCAGGGCCAGGAGTGATGAGTGTTTCTGTCCTCTGTGCTCCCAGGGACACCAAAGGTAGCTTGCAGGTGCTTTTTACAAAAGATTTTGAAGCCAGACCTGGTGGCACATGCCTGGCACCCCAGTACTCTGAGGGGGGCAATGACGGCCAGTTAGGTTATGCTGAGACCCCATTTCAAAACAGACAGACTAGACTGGGAAAGACAGTGTGCTCTGAGTGCCCAGCCTCCTCCCTAGTAATGGGGTCCCAGGGCAACAGACTCTTCTGTTTGCTTCTCTCCTGGGGAGGGGCTTGAAACAGAGCCTCATCCATGTGGGGCAGGCAAGCGTGGAGCTCTCTATGTAGCCAAGCTGTTCTTGAACTCCTGGTCCTCCTCCACTTCCGGAGGGCTGAGATGGCAGCCTGATGCTGTGTGGTGTGTGCCAGGCACTGGTCCTGGCCTCCTGAGAGGCAGAACTCTCCATGGAAGGTTTTCTGTGAAGCTAAGAGCCGAAACCCGCCCCCACCTGCCACCTGCTGGCTCAGGGATAGACAGCAGTGTGACAGCCACAGCTGGAAAGGGCTTGCAGATGTCAGGAGCAGGGCTGGGCCAGCAGAGTCAACCCTGCCAAGTAAGATCTGGGCCAGCAAGGGAAAGGCGCTGGGCGGTCATTCCCATCCGCCACTGGAAAGCCAGTTCCCGCCAGGCTCAACTGAAGGCCTGATTCACGTGGGGCAGTAGCTGAGCCAGTGTCACTGGGTGAACTTTCATCTTTATCCCTAGGGAACAGGGTAGAGGAAAGCTGGCAGCAACATTCCACTGGGGCACCAACAGGGTTGTGGGAGACATTTTTAACCCTTCACACTCAGATATATGACAACTTTGGGGATGCTGGCTGGAGACCAAGCAGCCCATTTCTTGGTACTCCCAGGGACAACCTCACCTTGGACAAGCCCACCTGCAGGTACCTGGAGTTCGCAGACTTACATTCTCTCTCTCACAGACTGACATTCTCTCTCTTTCTCTCTCCCTCAGATACACACACTCTGGAGTGCAAGCCCATCACCCCAGCACTTAGGGCAGAAGCAGTATATCACTGCCAGTTCAAGGCCAGCCTGAGCTACAGAGGAAGTGCCAGGCCAGCCACCATATAACAAGAAAAAAGAAATAATGAAAATAGAAAGGCTGGACCATCTCAGGCACCCTGTGCCTAGCAGAGTAAATGACCACTAAAGCAGCTCACTGCCCAAAGGATGCTGTCCATCCTTAGAGACAACCCCAGGCCCTAGGACAGCGTGGGCAGGTGAGCCTCACGTTGTCCCGGGGAGCACTCAAGTCACAGGGATTCACTGATCATTCACTGGACTTTCTGGAAAAAAACTGCCAGCAGAGGAGACGGTGAGATGACCAAGAGGTAGGAGGCAGATGACAGAGGACAGTGGAAGGGAGGTTGGGGGTGGCTGAAGTGTGGCCTCAACTGTGACAGTCACCACAGTCACAGAACTGTACCTTGGGAAGAGTGGAGGTGACCCTTGAGGAAAAGAGGCTCATAATGAGGTTAGAACTTCTGTATCTCAAGAAGGAAAGTAGTAAGGAGCTTGTTCTTCCTTTCTTCCACACAGGGTCTCACCAGGCAGCCTCCCAGACTTCCCAAAGCCACTCCAGAAGCCACCAGCATGAGAGAACAACTTTTGCCATTTCCCAAAGTCCCATTAACAAGAGGGAACAACCTCCCCAATTTCTCAGACGCCTTCTAGACAGGCCACCAACCTGAAGCTCACTGTGCAGACCATGCTGGTCTGGAACTCAAGAGATCCTCCTGCCTCTGCCTCTACAGAGTGCCAGGATCAAGGGCATGCGCCACCATGCCCAGCCTGCATACAGGCAGGTGTTTTAAAGTTTCTCTTACGTTTGTGAGTGCCTGTGTTTGTGCACACAGGGATGATAGGGAACTAACAGGAGGTGGTGCGTTCCCTCTGCCAGGTGCCATGCCCAGGTCACAGGCATGGTGGCAGCAATCTGCTGCTGAGCCTTCCTGCTGACCTCGGAAGAGCTGAAAGTGGGAATGTGTGGGGATTCTCAAGGACACACAGGGCTGCCCAATGGGAAGAGGCAGAGGACCAGCTGCAAGGGCATCCCAGGGTGCACGTGCTCCTTGGGGCCCATCCTCACCCAACAGCACCCAGAGATCCCGACACTTCACCTGCTACTCAAAGGAGACACTGGGCAACCAGGGACCAGGGCAACGACCTTTGCAGGCCCTCCAGTGTCAGTACCCTTGGATGCGTCTGGCACTTTTCCACTCTGCCTGTCATTTTTCAAGGGTCATTAGGGTTAGGGGATAACACCCTCAACTTCCAGGGTCTCACCAGCCCTGCCCACCAACCCGAGAGGGCACGCTCCGGGCTTCCCAAGGCTCCTCCAGCCATGCCACCAACATAAGAGACAACTGCTCCAGCTTCTCATGGCCCTCCAGCCAAGTCCACAAACATCCGACCACACATGAGGGACAGACCGAAGTGACAACCCCTCTAACCCCCAAGGTCCTTTCAGTCTGGCCCACTGACACGACAGAATCCTCCCAACATGCCACCAAGACCGAGGACAACCTAAGGGACACGAAGGACACGGCTCCGAGACTTTCTAAGGTCCCATTAGCACCCGACCACCAACACCAGGCGGTGACAACGCAAGAGGACATAAGGGGACGACAGGAGAGGACAGCTTGAGGAGACAGAGACCACAGCGGTAGAGGACACGCGCTTGACAACACGAAGGCACTACATCAAGGGTCGACACCAAAGCAGGGCGCCCCCGACCTCCCAGTCCTGCCCACGACGTCGCCTGACGCGGAGCTCCAGGCCGCCGGCGGCGACAGCGCGGCCCGCCGCGTCCGGGCAACGGCAGCCGCGGGCGCGGGCCGGGAACGGCCGACGGCCCGCCGCCGTCCCGGAGCGCCGGGGCCCCGCGATCCCCGCCCCGGCTCCCCCGGCAGCACACTCACGTAGACCGGCAGCGGCCACGGGTAGACGGCGGGCTCGGCGCCCACGGGCGACTTGAGCCTCAGCTCCAGCTTCTCGCCCATCTCGGCGCGCGCGGCCGCCGCACCATGCTAGGCGGACGGTTGGGGGAGGGGCGGGGCCGCCGGCGGGAAGCCCGACGGGCGGACGCGGGCGGACGCGGGACGGACGGCTGAGGACAGACGGCCCGGCCTGCGCCTCGGCCGCCGCTCCCGTGCGGCCCCCGGCTCCCCTCTTTGTAGAAGTCACAGACCCGGGGCGTCTAGCGCCGCCGCCATCTTGGGCCGGCGTGAGGAGAAGGCACAATGAGCCGGGGGGTCAGGCTGAACCACTCGGCGCGCGCGCGCGGGGGAGGCCGGGAGCCAGGAGGCGGTGCGCGCCCAGAGCCTCCGCCCGCCGCGCCGCGCGCACCACCCCTCGCACGCCACGCCCCCTTGGACTCGCCCGCCTCCGGCAGACGCAAGCACGTATGCACGCAAGGGCGCACGCGCGTCCTCGGTTGCCCTCTGACGCCCCCGCCAGCCGGAAGCGGGGACCCGGGGAAACCCTGCGGAGGACACCTAGCGAGAGCTGGCGGAGAGCAAGTTCGAATCCTGACTTCGCAGGCTCTGTTTTTGTTTGTTTGTTTGTTTGTTTGTTTGTTTCTGGTTGTCTTTCCAGTTTTTTTCTTTTAACTTTACAGTTTTCTTTTTTCAATTTTTTCTTCCCTTTTTTTGTTTTTTTCATTTTTCTATCTTTTTCATTCTGTTTATTTATTTTACTTATTTATTTACTTATTTGGCTTTTTGAGACACGGTTTCACTGTGTAGCCCTGTCTGTCCTAGAACTCACTCTGTAGACCAGGCTGGCCTCAAACTCAGAGATCCACCTGCTTCTGACTACCTTGTGCTGGGATTAAAGGTACGTACCACCATGCCCAGTTTTTTGTTTTTTTTTAAAAAGTTTTCCTACTTTTTGTGCAGTTTCGCATTAACAAACCATAAATGTATGATCAGGTACCTATAATCTAAGCACTTCAGAGGCTGAGGCAGGGGGATCACAATTCAAGGCTCACTTGAACTACAGAGTGAAGGCATTCCTTAAAACTTAAAATGGGCTGGAGAGTTGGCTCAGCAGCTAAGAGCACTGGCTGCTGTATCAGAGAACCAAGGTTCAGTTCCCACCGCTCAAAACCACAGTGGCTTCCAACCCTTGGTCACTGGGTTCCCAGGGTTCCAAGGTTCTCTTCTGGCCTCCGCAGGCACCAGACAAACTTCTGGTGCATAAATATACACGCAGGCGAGATGTTCATATGCATAAACATAAAATAGCCAAGTGTGGTAGCCCACACCATGAATCCCGATAGCCTCAGAAGGCAGGGGCAAGTGGATCTCTGTAGCCTGGACCTGAGCGGGAGTCAGCCCTCCTTCCCAAACTCTGGGTGGGCTCTTCCCAGATTACTTCGTTGTTTTATTTGTCGGCTTTTGGTTTGATTTTGTTTTCTTGTTTTTACCTTTTCTGAGAGGAGCTCATTTTGTAGTGCTGGAACTCTGTCTGTAGACCAGGCTGGCCTCGAACTCACAGAGATGCCCGAGCCTCTCTGCCTTCTGAGCACTGGGATCAAAAGCCTGTGCCACTATGCCCTGTCTAATGGGGTGTTTTTGAGAAGCTCTTATGTAGGCCAGAATGACCTTGAATTTATTTTATTTTATTTTATTTATTTCCTTTAGCCTACAGAGATGAACTCTACCCCTAACCTTGAACAGCACATTCCCTACCTTGCATCTCCTCACTCCCCTTCAGAGAGGTCCGACCCTGTCAGTCAGTGTCCTTGTTTGACTTGATATTATCCTAAGGATTCCTTCCCAGAGCCCTCCTCCTCTAGTCTCCCTGTTTATCAATTTCTACTTGTCCTTAAATTGGTTGTCCAGAGAGAGACTCCAACTTTCCCCTACAAGACAGTCATTGTGATTCCTAAGCTGATTTCAGTGGTCCTGGGGAGAATTTTCCCAGGTCCCCCTTGATCTCCTTACCAAAGGTAAGGATGGGACCTGGTGCCTCCTGGGAGCTAGGGCAAGTACTCTATCAGCAAACTAAGTCCCAGCCCCTCGATAAGGATTCTAGGCAGGGGCTCTGACCATGCCCCCAACCCCTCTTTGGGGTATTCTTAGTAGGAGCTCTCTCAGAAACTACACCCCACCCTTGGATTTTTAAATTTAGTGTTTATATGTTGCCCAGGAAGGTTTGAACTCATGATATTTCAGCCTCAGATCCCCAAGTGCTGGGATATGTGCTGGGTGGGATGTGGAGGTGTGTGCTTGGATGTGGGGGTTATTTGCTGGGATATGAGGGCGGTATGTGCTGGAGGTCCGGTTCAGACCCTGGACAAGAGGCTGAGGTTCTCATTTAACATACCAAAGTGGACCTGGCCTCCAGGTTCTCCCAGCATCCCTCAGTCCCTACCTGTAACAGGACACTGAACTTTCTAGCTCTCGGGCCTGGGCTTCCCCTCTCACCCAGAGGCTCTTCACCATATAATCCAGATATTTTGGTTCTCTCTCTCCTCTACCCTCTCGAGCTGCCCCCAACAAACCTGCCTTTGTTCTTTAATTTGGCTTGAATTGGCTTATTTCGTTGGCAGCAGTGACTACCTATCACCGGGATGTGGGGGTCAGGCACAGGACCTCGAGAGGACACCACACTGGGCCCCACATGCCCCTTTACTTTTTCTTATCAAACTCAGCGCCACGCCTGGAAGAAGCAAGTAGAAAAGCTGGGTCCAGTGGGAAAGGGAAGCCCCTTCCTCTCCCCGTGGGCCCAGAGGAAGAGTAAGTGTCTCGCCCCCACCCTGCCCCTGCCTTTGAGGTTCCTGTGTGGCTCCCAGCACTTCCTTGGTCTGAAAGCTGCTGGCCGCCTGTGCTAATTTTGGGCTCAGAGCCCACAGGATTGTGTGAGTCACACCTTAAAATAAACCTCTGTCTCTATATCTGTGCTCACTCGGACCTATTTCTGGAAGCCTGAGTAATCGCCTAGGAAGACGCGGGTTTGCCATCAGCCACTCCCTCCCCCCAACACTGTGTACTCCCAGCACAGCCGAAACTGATGAGGAGGACCGAAGGTTCCAGGCAACACCACACGCAGGACTGAGTGGGTAGAGGGCTGACGTAGAATGTGGGAAGCCCTGGGTTGCATCACCAGCAACTCATAAACTGGGTGTGGTGACCTGAGCGCTGGGAAGTGAGGCCATCAGGAGTCCAACAGCACCCTCAGCTTCACCGTGAGCCTAAGACAGCCTGAGCCACTTGAGACCCTGTCTTTTAAAAAGAAGGGAAATAAGAGTAGCGGCCCCTGTTAGCATACTTTTAAAAAATATTTTATTTATGTTTCTTCATGCCTCTTTCTCCCTTTTTCACCCCAATCCCCTCCAACACCAGGTAGGAGAGAAAGGTTAGTGGGGAGAGGGGTTGTGGTTCTTTTTGGCTACTTCTTGCTGTTTAGGGTCATTAGGTTCCTTGGGACAAATCCAATCTTCATTTCAGGTTATCTCCAACTTCTCCTCAAACTGCATTAACAGGAACCAGGAGCCTCAGAGGGGATCATCAGCCTGCTTCTTTCTCTGATTTCCCCTAATACTCTTTGGGCTCTGGCCTTTATACTAAACTCTGAGAGTCCTCAGAATTAAACTATCTGCAGTTGGCAAAGAGCCCCTCTCAGAGCCCACATGAGACAAATAATCTGCTGCTTTGGACCATCAGAATCAGCCCCATGTCTCACACCTGAGATTAAAATGAAAACATGTTTACATAACATAACTGAGTTTGGGTTTTGTTTGTTTGTTTTTGGCTTTTTGAGACAGGGTTTCTCTGTGTAGCCTTGGCTGTCCTGGACTCACTTTGTAGACTAGGCTGGCCTCAGACAGCAATCCACCTGCCTCTGTCTTCCTTAGTGCTGGGATTACAGGTGTGCACCACCACAGCTGACTCCATAACTGAGTTTTTAAAGACAAAAACTTTCCACTGTAGGTGCCATTGAAAAAGTGCTTTGCCTCCATCGTGAGTGGCACACACCTTTGATCCCGGAATTCAAGGAGGCAGAGGCAGGTGGATCTCTGTGAGGGCTCTGTTATAGTGAAAAACCTGTCTCAAAAAATAAACGAAAATAAATAAATGGAAGGAAGGAAGGAAAGGTGCTTGCCATAGAGTTAGGATTGCCAATAGCCTTATCAATGCAACTTGGAGACGCCAGCTAATCCTAGCACAGAGAAGACAGACAGGGCATCATACCACAAGAAGCTGAGTGGCTGGACTCACCAGACACAACTTCACTGAGAGACCTCATGTCCATATCTAAGGTGGAGAGGGATGAAGAAAAACAATGTATTTCAAGCTCAGAACACACAACACAGACACACATACACGCATAAAGAAAAAGAGCCAGGGGAACGGCTCAGTTGGTAAAAAGTTTGCCTTGCAAAGATAAGAATCCTGCTTTAGTCCTGACAAACACACCGCACGCAAATGCCAGGCCAGTGCGGTAGCTGCCACCTGGACTTCAGCACCTGGGAAAGCAGAGGCAGCTTGCTGCGGCCTCATGGGTGAGTTCCAAGCCAAGAGAAGCTTGAAAGGAGTGGGCAGCATCCCTGAGGATCACATCTGAAGCTGTCCTCCAGCTCCCATGCATGCACATACACGGAGCTGCACACACAAACACGCACACACTGAGAAAATAAATAAATAACCTTTGTTTTTTTAAAGAAAACAGGCCAGGCGATGCTGGCACACGTCTAGCCCCAGCACTCGGGAGGCAGAAGCAGGTGGATCTCTGAGTTCAAGGCCAGCCTGGTGCACAGAGTGAGTTCCAGCACAGCCAAGGCTACACAGAGAAACCCTGTCTCAAAAAAAAAAAAAATCGATCAATTGATACTAAAATAAAATAATAGCATAAGCAGCTGGAGGTGGCAGCACATAGCTTTACCCCAGTGCTTGAGAAGGAGCTGCAGGGAGATCGCTCCATGATCGGGAGCAAACTGGTCGATGTAACTCCATCCAGACCAGCCAGAGCTACAGAATGAAATTCTGTCGGGGGGGAGTAATTCATTTAAAAAATGATAAATCCTTAAACATTTAACATTTCTTTGTTCATTATGTTCTGTCTGCATTGAATGCATCCACACCAGCAGAGGTCACAAGATCTCATTATAGATGGTGGTGAGCCACCATGTGGTTATTGGGAATTGAACTCAGGACCTCAGGAAGAGCTCCTAACCTCTGAGCCACCTCTCCAGCCCAGTCTTTGAACATTTTTTAAACTAAAGTGAAGTGG